CTTATGAATAGGTTGCCCCATCGTTTGTTGAAAGAGAAGTTATTTAGAGCTGTCTCAAAGGTCCTATGTCGGACAAAGCCCGCTCTACATCCACACAGGGTTTGAGCACTGAAGGTGACATAAAAGTCTATTTTCTAAATGCACAAGTTCTATGAGAGGTAGCATCAATCTGTTCACATGTATAGTTTTCGATTCATATTTTACTTTTGACTCCCTTCAACCAAAAAGCAATTTTTGTTTTAAGTTTTCGTTCTAAAGCTTAAATCTAACTCGAAAATGTTTAACATTGAGGGGATAAGTAAAAAAACGTTTTTCTTAAATACTTCAATTTAGACCTACCCTATGAACTTCAAAAAGAACACCGTACTTGTCCTTCTCCTACCTAGTTATACCTGGCCTTGTAGATAGAACGCCAGTGGGTTTTGTCATGTTATAATAGTGTGTTTTTCATATATATATGTGTATATATATATATATATATGTATATATATACACACATATATATATATATGGGAAAAAGAAGGCGCTACATGAAATATATATGTCACTTACGTTTAAACGTTCTAATTGTTGACAAATCATTGATTGAGACGTGTTCTGTGATAGTTCTAAGACAATTGTAAAGAGTTACAAGAAATCTATTCGGCAGTGAACGAAACATTATGGCCACTTGAACACAACAGATTATGTAGATTTTGTAGCCCCGAACATCAAAACTTTAATGAAAAACCCATTTATTGTCCCATTATATCTTCTAAACTGACAAAATTCCGCCACAATAAACTAAGCCCTTTATGTCGCGGTAGTCTATATTTCAATCGAATATCAGTGTTTGGCAGATATTCACACCAGGTCTTTGGCTGTTTACAATTATAAGCTAATTTAGTGCCATGAAAAAATAAAATATTTAAAGGAGGTTGCCGAAGATCAGTGTCGAGTAATTCAATTTCTTTCTAAAATGGGAGCACTAGTCGAACGAATTCATTAGAATTGATGAAGACATCGGGAAAAGAGGCTTTTGATTAAAAAAAAAAAAAAAAAAAAGCAGTTCATTACCGATATAATTGTCTAAAAAATGCAAATTGGTAAGTTGAAATACATTGAGGAGATGACTGCGCGTCAGGATCTCAAATCGAAGGACGAGATACTGTGATCATGGACACTTCAAAACAAAACAGAGTACGGACGATGTGCTTGTTGTCGGCTCAACGCAGGGTTTTTCTAATGACGTTTTATGAAATTATACGACGAGATAAAACGCAGCGACGAGTAAAAAAATGGCTTCTTCACCAACGAAGCACAAAACGAGTCGAAACTCTGAAGACCTCCACGCAGCAAAAAAAAAAAACCCGCCCAAGGCATAACGTAGCCATAGACGAGATATGGATCCGTAGGTGCTGCTTACCAGAGGGGATTTAGGCGACCCCGTAGCGTCGTTCAAAGGGAGTAGCATCGGTAACAGCGTCAAATAGATGTGGGCACAAGCTAATGTTTGTACCCAAATCTATTTGACAGCTAACTAACAGCGGATATCAGGAACATTTGTTATTATTACGAGATATTGCCCAAAGAGAGGACCACCAATGCTTCGAATTCTTCGAAAGCGTTACGTATGAGTAGCACGACAATCGATAATGTACCGTGCGGCCACCCGACGACGATGACACATGATCTTATCAAAACGCATTATAGCCTAAGTCGATAAAAGCAGTCTCCAAATTGAAGTCCGTGTGATTTCTACTTGTGCTTCAACAGTATTATACATGGCCTAGCATATCCTATTGCCGATTCGCCCGAACAACCCACTAGTGGTATCACAACGTACACAGCTCTGGACAAGTTTCCAGAGCGCTGGCTTTATAAACCATCAAAGTGACTATACCTAATGTGAACCAGAATGCCGTTACTCTACAGCAGATGGCTTAGAAATTGCAAACTTCCTAACCCCCCCCACTTCCTATAATTGAAGGAGACATTTCAGTGCGTCTTCCTCGTGTTACATCAGCGATCATATAGTCCGTTGCAAGCATCATATCCTGTAATGGAGCACACAAGTTTTTCTTTATCAAGTTAACTTACTATATGGTCTATAGCGATAAAAGCTGTATAGCCCTCAGTCAGGAAAAACAATTACCTAATACTTCAGTAGTGGACGCTGTAGTGTCACATATGTATGGTTACCTATGTAAAAGTTTACGATTTTATGCTGTTCAATGAACAGATTCTAAATTAGGTAAGCACTCCAGTCCAGGAGTGACAACTGCGGCCGAGTTTAACCTCTTATTAATGTTTACAATTATTACATTAATTAGTAAAAATTTCTGCTTACCGCTTTTCTTTTTCTGCTTTTTTTTTTTTCCCTGATAACCGCGTGTTATGTACCGTTGATATAGTAAAACTTTGCTTCGAGCTTCAAAGATCGGAATATAGGGTAACGAAGCTTAGCATTTAATTTTTTTATCAATGCCTATATGGTAGTATAACTTTTCACCTACGGTAAAAAACAAAATGTTGACCACCAAAAATGCTCTTACGTAGCCAATGTTAGGCTCTGAAGCTAGGTCTAAACTTTATGATTTGCACAAAACATAATGAGGCCACTGGTAAGACTCGAAAGCAATTGTCCAGAGGAGCTTCCTAGCGACACATACCACCTAGCTATCAGTACATAGACAATCCAAGGAAGAAACAGCAAATAACGGTCGCCATTGTTTTCCAAATAATCTAACGGATCACCGCCACCTATCATTGGCAAAGTACTTTGAGATTTAAAATACCGATTCTGATATCATAGAAGCTTTGCGATTTCCAGGGCTCCATATTGTTCTGATTAACGACCGCACGAGGAGAAGCCCAAAAATACGAGGTCTACTAATGTTAGTATGTCATGAAGATTGAGTAGACTATATAGCTTCAGCACACATCGCGCTACCTGCAACAAATGTCCCAGAAGACAAACAAAAACGTCCACGTCAATTAGGTAACGTGTTAAAATTCAGATAGGGTCTCAGAAAAGATAAAACGTCGAGATGGTAACATGTTCGCAGGGAGAACCGTGCGCGAATGTTGTAATTAATGTAAATTGTGTAGTAAGCGTAACACACAATCAATTACCTGAACTACTTAAATATTTGTAGTTTACTATATCACAGTATTAATAATGATACATTCCTTAATTTAATTTTTATTGAACGAAGCTCGGTATGTCTAAACAGCTGGTCTAGTTCTTCATTCTCTTAAGGATATGTAAGCCGGTATAGCTTTTGCAATGACTTTAATTGACAAAAAGAAGGGTTGATCAGTAGTACATCTGGACAAATCACAAAATATATGGTGCAAGTAATCAGAGCTCCGAATCTATTAAACCAAAACAAATCATCGTTTCGTTCGGCGCTTAAACATGTTGCCGAGCGTTGAGGACGAAGTTTCTTACCGCATGCTCAACGAATATAAGCGTCTGAACACGGTAGAGACAATAGCCTGCAGATATGGATACGGCAAAGAATATAGAAACAGCTTTGCATAGAAGCAACCAGTCAGCGTTCTCCAAAGGTTAGGTCTATTTAAGAAGCCTATTTGAAAATATAGGAGCCACCTAATATGTTATGTACTTTCGTTCACCTATTCAAATCGACGCTGACCAGGTACTGAATCCAAGATCTGTAGCGTTACATTTATAGTAAGTTTGCCTGTATGACAAATGGCTAACCTCGTTCAATGCGATAGCCTCTCATTTGTGTTCCGTTAAATGTGATCAAAGATAAAAGTACTTATTTCAATCGCTCGTCTAGTTCTATGGCGATATTTAGTCTATATGATCTCTGTCTAGGATTATCCAGATGAAGCTTGTGGATGGATAACAGTAATTGCTTGGAAACAGTTCCTTTTGGATCTATTGGGTCTGCATGTTGCTCAGTATAAAATAAAGTGACAGGTCAACTAACCAGGGTAGCAGAAAAAAAAATTGCTCTACATGTTATAGCTAAGTATTTCAAATTTGATGTCCGGTATCGTTGTTTAGGCCTGCTCCGTCGTGATAGTTCTGTCACCACGAAAAAACAGAGGACCGTTTAATATAGGTTAGGTAACGCTGTATCTTATACACTTGAGTATTTTTCATGAAGAACTGACAGAAGGATCGATTATGCGCGTGGACTGCTAACCCAAACAAATCCAACTGGGTGCACAGAGCTGTCCGACAATTCTGTAGCTTCTATTGATTCAAATATTATATTTGTACTCTGTTTGTCTCGTCTACGAACTCGTATCCTGTTGATAACCTCGCGCCCATACAATCATTGTACCATTGGACTACCATAGGCCTATGGGAAGAAAACGATATCCGGCCTTAAAAAAGATAAATGTTATAAGAAAAAAATGTGAGACGTTGTTGCAGTGTGGAAAGATTAAACATTTCGCTCACGTCAACAATTTTTGGCCCTTTTCTACTAATATCACCACTATTTGCCTCGATCTGATTGTCTTCTTGTGGGCGTCTACGCTTTACGATGAAAATGCAAGCTCGGATTTCCGAGTGCTGGATGAACTTGTATACGTGTTACATCTGTAATACATTGAACCTACACTCCTGACCTGCAGGGGCACCCTATCGATAGTTCTTCGATAATCTTAAGTTGTTCGCCCTTCTACGTAGATACCTTTGAAGACACATGTCTCAGGTAATGTGAGTCGCATCGGCGATAGGATCATTCGAAAACCGAGATTCGACAATGATACGTATAGTAAAACGATTGTATGGTAAAGTTCGCTATATTTTCTATACCATTTTTTCAATGTAAAGGCACAACCGCTTCATGGACTCATAGAAAAACATCGTGCCGCTTACTTTCAAAGTTGCTTTTCGTAGTGGTTGAACAATAACAGAAAAGATGGTGATATTATTGCAAACGTAAAATTCAGCGTTTATTACGAAATAATCCTGAGCTGTTCGAGGAGAGCTGGCTAGAAAAAAAAAGCCGATTTGACGCTTGAGTCCCGCACGAACGGATGCAATAGATTTCCATTTTCGAGAGAAACCCTATGAGAAATTGAGCCATGTCCAATGCTGTGTACAGTAAATCACATACGATAATAATCTGCAAAGGAAAAAAAAATAAAGATATATCTTCGACAAGGTACGAAGTCTGAACTAATCCTAAACAGGTGTTACTATGTGCTTCATGGAACTGGAAAGATATCGACCTACTAAAATTGTTGGTTCGGGTCTCTACTTACAGTTAATAACAAACAATTGAAAAAAATGGATAGAAACAAATGAACGAAAATGCTAAATGATATTCATTTTTAGCTGCCCGGAAAAAGGCTCAGATGAAAAATCTTAACACGTCCGCTGAATAGCCTGGATCTTGTACGATCCTTTGTATCGGTAGTAGTTTGCTTTCAACAGAGGCGTCCAAAATGTAATTTCGTACAAAATCAACTTGCAAGGGTAAATTGTCCGTCTGGCTAAATACTTAGTGGCCGCGAGGATACAACGATACCAGCAAATAGGCGTTATAATAGAGAAAGCGATCACATATTATCTAAAGTTACTTCGAAACTTAAAAGTTTCAAGCTTTCCCATTTTGACCAATGTGCAAATTGGGCTCTAGATGTTTGATATCCAAATAGTGGGTAGTTTTATGCATCCGACATTTCTCAATGCTAGTTCTCGAATCGACTCTATAGGGTGACAATACTCACAGTGGCATCTCTACCGCTATGTCAGTCTCACTCCACAAATTATCGTTGCAGATTTGTTGGCAGATCAAAATGGCGACATCGCCTATTCCGTCAGCAGATTTCCAATGAGACGCTTCAACGCGGACCACGCAAAGACGGTCTATTAAATAGAAGAAGGAATGCTCTTTATCGTAAGCCTGTATAGAAAGCTAGAAATATATATATATGTATTAAACTCATGTACGCTTCATCCACTGTATAACGGGAGCCTTGTGTATGCTTGCTTTACATAAAGCCGACACCTTCTAACGAAGATAAGACTGTTTGCACAGGACAACGTTTGTACGTACCCTGCTAAATCTGGAAAATGCTTCACGGATCATTGAGCAATAGAACGAAAAGCAGAAGTGAGGTTATCACCCTGTATTATGTCAATTGCTTGAATGAACCCCTTTGTTCAGACAGTGCATGCTTTAAGGAACCCTGCATTGTGTAGGCATTACTAAAATCCTGTTTCGAAATCCACAAACACGATGCCTATTTCGGTCGATTGCGAACACGATGTACCTCTTGCAGTGGCGTATCGCATCCGGTCAGCGCGGAATCCAGCGCTGTTCAAATAGGATACATGGTCAAAATCTCGTCAAACGCTGCGCAATGAGATGGAAAAGTTTGTAACTACTCGCGATCGCTCTCTATGAAGATGGGTCGCGTAAGTTGTCCTTTATTTTGAGGACGACACTTAGAAGGCCCCTCCTCTAATTTGTTGGGGAGAGTCGTTGGATAAGTCTGTCCTAACGAGGAACGAATCAGCCGCTTTTATTGTTTCAATTGTTTAGGCGTTTTTTGCGGATCAGATCCAGTCCCGTGGTCGCTTCAGAAAGCACGACGCCTAAAGACGAAGAACTCCGCTCTTAACGTTCCGCGCGTTATAGTTTACCCCATACACTAGCGAATGGCACTGTCCATGAGATGGCGTACCTAGCTGATAACATAATTCTAAAGTACTCTATTAGCACTATAGAGCTAACTGGGTATGATAGCAGCCCCATCCTACGCAGCCGTTCCCTTCCTGCTCGTATTACTGACTCGTCTTGACAAGAACCCTTATGCATATTCAGGAGGTAGCCGCTAGAAATAAAGTTCGACCTATTTCAAGTCCACCAAAACAACAAAATGTTGTACTCTACATACTAGCCATAGAAGCCATACAATTTACAATGAAGCTTAATTGTTGCTGTTGCTACATCTGTGACTACTACGGTTGGTTGCCAATATATATTAGAAAATGTTGATTAGTGATGTCGGGATGTTTTTAAATGATTCCTCCAGAACAGGACTACGCAGGTTAGACGAATCGTTAAACAGCGATCCAACAGAAACGTGTACAAACGCTTCGTGACAGAATTCCTGCAAAGAGCCTTATGTTCGACAGCTGGTATGCCAGATATGGAGACCTGATTGCCAGCCATCATGCTGCCCTTTTTTTTAGAAGAAAGCGAAACCACCGAAAGAAGAAGCAAGTTCTTTAGGACGTCGTTTGATGCGACTCTAGTATCTGTTTCAATGTAAAATCGACCTAAATGTGTCGTGTGGGTCTGTTAAATTAATGCAAATATTAAGGTATAAGATCAACGTAAGGTTAAGTACTTGGAAGAGAGATTCGGCACCACCTTCGCGACACTAGACGGTCAAATAAAACGATACGTTCAATTGAAAGAGACAAATCAGTCATCTTAGTGAATCTAATGACGTAAAAGCAGAAATTCGCAGCAGCAGTAGTAAACCTTAATATTTCACTCCACAATAATTATTTCGTCCGGCTCCTCATCATGGGCCGTCTGAAAGGCGCGCACATACCTGGATGAGGGAAGCCTGGATGAGGAAGCGTTGGAGTCCAGCATATTTTTGCCTTGCCGGCTACTTGTTGAAGTAAGGTCTATCTAAAACAGAAATCCAAATCGCGGATCGAGTGTTGGCGGGGATTGGACGAGAACTTCGCGAAGTTCATATGAGTGGACTGTGCTTCCTGGATTCGGCGCAGACGCGTACTCGGTCTTCGACTCAGCTTCCTAAAAGCTTATCCCTAAAGCATATGCCGATTCATGGGCTGAGATTTCCTTGAACTTCAAGCTTCTGGTTCCTAAAAATCGGTTTCGTTTTTCTCGTTAAATCAATTGCGATCCCCCTGGTCACTTCCCATTTAGCGTTATGTCAAAGGGAGCATGTGGAACAATCCATAGTTTCGAGACGCTTTTGACGGCATAACATCGTTGCCTAGTTTGGAGTCTACTAAAGAAAGAGGCACAGATAATACGTGACGTTCGGAGCCAAGTTGAGTCGCCTGTACACTGCCAAGATGTAGAGCTCGTTTTTGAACTTCCATCTACTCATGATCTTTAGCCTATAGGAAGATCGCCATGGACGCGGAAAAGGTCCGCTATATTTCTCAGCTTCTTCGACCACGCTAGTCACGTGTGTTGTTTTTTGACGCATGTTTTATGATTTGGAATAAGTTTGCAGCATTCTTAAGGTATAGCGTTCCAACAGATATTATTATAACTAGACATCTGGAATTTTCGAATTAATCTTATAAACACCCAAATCCACTTAAAAAGTTTACGAATAATGTCAGTAAATAAGTAGAGTCGATGTATCATATAAAAGAAGCATGCCTTCTATAGATATTTAAGAAGCGACCGTTACGTCAAATACATCGGGACACATGCATGGGGTATGATAGCAAGATTCTGTAAAAACAATAACGTATTATTCTTACTAAGACAGTATCGGTCGCCGTCTGCAATTTTCTCTACTTTGTGGTAAGTGAAAATTGCGGCATTTTTTAAATCCATTTTTGTAATATAAACTGAAAGTAGATTGTCTTTACAAAAGGCAAAATACTGAGTTATTCTGCTTGAGCAGGAAGAAGGCTATACAGGGTCGATTTCTGTATGGACGTAAACAAATAAGTATTTCTCCATTTTCTCAATAGCACAATTTCTGTAAATAAACATCACCCTTCTAGGTTTGCTAAGTACTGAAGTGGGAAACTTTCGACTGAGGATACATAGTTCGCCACTTTAGGCACAGGTTCTTTCTTGTTCTTCTTTCTCGTTTTCCGGTTGTAATATTAATACACAGATAATTTCTCACTGCAGTACCTGTAATATATTCTCCAGGTAAAAGCAGCTTCTATTTCTAGCCGTTGTAATGCTGCATAAACTAGATAAAATTCAAACGTCAAAATAAAAACGATTTTAGATAGTGAAACGTCCCAACGTACCTTTGTGCCAACTTGTTTACACACAAATATAAAGAAGCCTTCAAACGGAGCCGAGTTTCGTTTTGTCTTACTTATACTGTGCACTTCCAGTTTATGTCTGAACGCACGAGTAGCCTTCCAAGCTTTGAACGAGCAAGAGAAGCTTGTAAACATTTGAAGAAGCATGTCATGATTGATTGACTCGATCACTGTTTGAGTATTAACCTCTCTTTCCTCTATACTTGCAAGTCTGTCGGCGTAAACCTAATCTTTTGCATAAACCCAAAAAATGTAATCAATGGGTATAAAATAATAGGAACACAACTACAATAAAGGCCCGCAACGCAATGGCAACTCATAATCTCGCGAGTCCGGTATGACTCGTGACCCAATCTCACTGGAACAAAACAGCATTATCCGTGTAGCACACAATCAGGCTCACAAGAGGCCCTTCAGCATACCCCTTATTTTTGAAAGGTGTAGGCGAATGCATCTGCACACTCTTTGGGACTCTCAAAGCTACTTCCCTAAACAATCCACGCGTAAAGCCAAAGCATCGGACTCGCTTTTTGTGTTTGACCCATTAAACCTCTGTCCTTTCAGGCTGGCTGCCATCAAGGTCCGGAAAAAAAAAGGAACGGTATTACAGTTGGTCTTGACTGCACCTCAGGAGCTATTATAGTCTTTTCAATTATTGCTTTGAATCCTTTCTCTCATGACATTTTCCAGCAAGGTCGTATTAAAATGCGAAAAACCTCCTCCTACGTTGTCTTACAGCGAAAGATCACAGGTTCCGGCTGATTTCGATGCAGCTATCTTACCTATCCCAATAACGTAGATCTGAAGCTGACCAGACGACTTCAATTATATGGTAAGTAAGCTCATCAAAATAGATCAGGTTTATTATCCAGCAGTGATCAATCTTTCCGTTATTTCCGCAATGTGTTTCCTGAGAATCTCTCAAAGTCAGCGCCTTTGTTAAAATATCACTTAGCCCCAGCAGCAAGACGTCGCGCTCTTATTGTTTCTATCGACACGAACACTGAGCATTAGTACCTACAGTCCTGTAAACTCGCACTACCCGTATTGACTCTATTGTGGGTAAAAACGAACTTTCGGCCTCCGTTTGTGTTATGAGTATGGTGTCTAGAAAAAGAAACGTCATGGCATACTTCTTCCAGAGAGCAAGCGTAACAAAAAAAAAAGTTTATCATCATGCGGACCATCGTGCAACCGTGGATGGAAGGATACCATACGTATTCCAACAAGAAAGTACACCAGCTCATACAAGCAAGTTATCACAGAGTTGGCTGCTTTAGAATACGGGCATGCTCAACACTAACCACACTTAGCAGCCAAAGAGTCCAGATTCGGATTCACTAGATTACGGATGCGATCATTCGATTCATACTACCGAAGGAAAGTTCATATGAACAAGTATTTCAAAAATGCTGCGGTTACCGAGAAAAGCGGTACGTTTTTTTCCAATTTGAGCAAAGATCAGCTTTTATGTAGTCTTTTCACAAAACACCAATAAGATAATAGGCTTGTTAGCTGTGGTTTCTTTTAAATCTATAGTGTACCGCAAGGAAATGTCGATGCAGCTACAGAACGACGAGCCACCTAAAGGGGATTTTCGAACTATCCTTCTGTCTGAGTAAAATCTCTGACAAAAGACTTCATATGAATATAGCCATGATGTCACACATCGTTCACGAAAAACCCAGGTAAGTGTCACACAACATGAGAAAATAAACTGAAAACATATTGGGAATGAAGTCAATGTCGTTTGCTTTTCAATGCTCTGGTTAGACTCTGGATTCAAGTTATCCGGGGTACACGGGGACTACACCGAGTAAACAGGACGGTCCAAAAACTGGCTTTAGTTTTTCGTAGAAAATGTTTTTAGTTACCTACAATCGTAGATATAGTTGATAGCAGAACGTTCCATGTCAAACCAACCTCTAGGGAGATACGGGATGGAGTAAGCCTTTTAACATCGTGGAGAGAAGTCACTTGGTACTCTAATATCTTTGATAAATTTTTTTGCCTTAATATCCATTAAGCGTTTTTTTCTACCGGTATTGCAGATGTAAGACGTCCAAGCTGTGAAAAAACTACTACAGCACCTCGAATGTATACGGGATGCGGCACCTAAATTGGGAGTCGTTCTCATGCTTGTAAAAATGGGTCCAATAAAAAAACAGGTATGCTTCTGCGTGTCCTAGAGGAGCTACTTTCAAGAGTACATTATTTTGTATAACTATTGCTCACCGTGATTGCAATTTCAACTTGACAGCTACACCGTTCACTAGCAATCTTCAAAATAAACGTTCTTTAATCCTTGCTAATAATAATAATCATACTTCAAAGCCTAGTAATAGGCATAAATATATATAAAAGTATCACTCAAATATACAGAGACTTCAGCGGAATGAAGTTTTGGACTAATAGCAGGTCAAGAGTCGCAAAAATGCTCCTAGAAAGACGAAATAATGAAAAAAAAAAATGCAAATCAGCCCACATCCGCTACGACAAAGTGTTTCCCTATTTAGCTACCATATTTTATATAAAACAAATGTTTGTTGACGGTTTGACAAAAAGTCACCTGAAAATTGGAAAGCCTACACTCAACTTTTTTTTACTTTTGGTTTTATTACATTTTACTTGTCATTGCTTTGAGATAGAGAACTGCCAAGGGACTCTTATACGCACTGCATTGTGTATGCGTAGGGGGATGGGTTTCAATTAGGACACTAGCTTACGAAATGCTTTTGCAAAACAAAAGCACAGATCCTTCAACTATCGTTTTGCACGTGCCAAGAACCTTATCCTTAAGGACCAGTGTCAGGTAAAGACAGATTGGTGAAAAATATCAACATAATCCTCAGGTTTCCACATCGTTAAAAGACGAAAAGTGTAATAAAATGTCCTTTTTTAAGGTGTAGGGCCTTCTTAAGTTGCACCTGAACTAGACTGGGCAACTAAAATTGACGCATCTTGTACGATAAAAGAGTACGACTGACAACACGTTTCCAGGATTAGATCTTTAAGATGTTAACTTTATTAGTTATGTTGAATGTGGTATATAGATTCGTGAATGGAACGAGCCTGGATAATGTAAATCAATGCGTTGCAGTCATCACTATTATATAGCATATTGTTGTTCATTTAATACAATTCCAATTGTATAATCTGTTATCGTTACCACTATGATAATTGAAGTAGGATTAACAACATCATTTTACTCAGACTCATCATGGCATCATCAGTGGATCTCATCGCGTTTCGCGATTATCTCGCGTCGTTTTTCCTCTCTAGGGAACGTTCGCTCTGAATAGTTTCCAACGAACAGCCCATACTTATGTTAGTGCCTTAACCTGTTGTGCTATCGATAGATAAGCCTACATTTCATTCGTCCTTCGGCGTCCTCACCTCGAAGCGGTTCCTTATTTGACACTAGGGAAAACGCTCATGCTTGCTAGAATTGGCAATCATCGACATGGCTAGCCGTCTATTAATGGGAATAATTGATCTTTCTAGTTAGAAATATGAGTGTGGATCATTTCATTTGATCATTTTCTTCGCGTATATCGATATTACATTATAATATACGATCTATTATTCTTGGCAACTAATAGTGTCCAACTAAAACACGACGGATAGCTTAAGGAACTAAATTTCTACTTCTGTAATGCCCAACTGTGATACACACAAAGGAAAGCAGGTCTAAATAAAAACATAGATCCACTTTGGAGCGCTTTGGATCTTCTTCTCTGAATTTTGAACTTCAATCCCGTTCTAAACTTACGAAAAATTCCGAACTTTGAATGTTAATTGGAGTCAGCAAGCATATGTGATCATCAATCACTAGCTTATCGTGGCTGTCTCGGCCACCCGGTTTCTGTCTAAGCACCCTTATTCCTACAGTAAAAACCGAACGTCTAACTGAAATTTCTACTAATATCGTTTACTTATCATTCAACCAATCCTTTCATTACACAACTGCATATTGCTTATCGATTCGTTGGCCTTTTAATCTTCTCGCTACATATATTTGTCTCCTTGAATCCCATTACCATTTTACTTTTGCAGTACTCCTACCTTAATTATCTCTGACGCTAGACCATTTCACTCGATTATTCCCAGCCTATATAATTGTTTAACCCATTTTATATAATTGAATCAGATTTTTTTAGTCAGTTCACTAACGTGTCTCTGCTTGTTAAATCCATTTGATTTCCGGTATCTTTCCTTTTTTTTTTTTAAATTTTTTTTTTATTATCGTATTTATATCTTTCGTCGCTGCTTCCTCCTCCAATATTCTTTATCGCGTCTTTCGTTTCGAACGTATCGCAGCCGAGATCACATCTTCACGTCGCTCTGCTCTTCACCCCATGTATGTATCTGCTACTATAATGATAGCATTTTATGTAGTTATAGTAAATCGGTTGACATTAGTTGATAATTAATAAATGGTAGTAATATTATTATTATACTGTCTCAACGACGTTGCTGTTGTTCCTTAATCGATGATCACGCATTTATTTACTTAGGGATTGTTTTAAAATTTCAACGTTTTCTAATATGGCTTTAAGGGTAGTAAACACTACGTCTAAAAACTGATGTTACCATTACACCCCTTTTGCTCTCTTGTTGTTGGTGGTAGTATTTCTTGTCCTGTAGTATTCATGAACCATTATTAGGCTTTAACTTGTAGTAATTTATAACACGCTATATCTACTATGATAGCCCGTTTATTATGGAGTACGTGCTCTTTTATAGGGCTTTTTTTTGTTTATATATATGTGTATTCTTATATTATGGTGTATTTGCTTGTTAAACGTTGCAGCGTCCCACTCGACGGCCGCATGTTGAACGATCTATCGTATTCATCGACCATAAAGTGAGTGCACCCGCCAGTCTACCACCGAACCAACAGTCATCAATTCTTATATCATTCAAGCACCAATCAGCCGTTCGTGCGACACGGAGCACATTCACTGATTAGTTCAATACCGATGGTCGACTGTGTTATTAGATGAGCTTTTTAATGTTGTTATTGTTTTATATCGTCTGCTAGGCAGTGGGACAGACGGCATGAGTCGGCACAAAAATGTAAATGTCATGACATAACCGGCCAGATAAGTCAGCTTTTTTTCGTTATTCAATAACGTGAGGCCTACGTACGGGTTCGATTTCCCTTTCGTGGACTCAATGACTCACACGGATAACAAACGTTATGGCTGCTGAGGCGGGAAAGAGTCGAGGCGCGCTAACATCTAGCAGATGCAGTCTACAGGGCGATATACTTCAATCTTATCGATCTGCATTGTTTCCCTTATTACATTTGCATTCACTCATTAGAAAATTTGAGCTGCATAAGTGGTCATTATATGGTAAGTCTATATGATTAAGTAAGCTCCTGCCGATTTGTTCATCGTAGGCCACACTTTATATCGGGAACCTCTATCCCAAACAGAGAAATTTCAGTACCTGGCATGGTCAACGTTTTCGTCATGTCGTTTTTTCTCCTGTCGTTCTCTAGGTGCCAACTCAGGCTCTTTTACTCGAAAACATCTGATGAACTTGACAATTGTTGCTAGCCATTCATTCTATCGTACCTTTCTTCTCACATTTGATGAAAACACGCTTTACAGTTTTAATTGCTACTAACTCACCGATTCAAGTTACTGTCCTGCTGCTTACACACATGTTCAGTTAGTCACCTTACGACGAATGCAAGTTGGTGCGCGCGTGTATCAGATCAGCAGGGCTAAGTTTAACTAACAATGCTTTCATGTACACGATCAGTCCATTGTTGATAAAACAGCACTATATGATTTCATCTTGAATACACTTTTGTGTATTTTTGTTTTCCTTATTTGCTAACATTATCATAATCGTGATTATTATTATAGTAGTATACTATTATTATTACCATGGTTGTTGGAATCATTAGTGCGTTGACTTACTCATGTCTAGTTCAACTGCCAAGTAAGTTCATCCGTCGTGCATCCCATTTCTAGAGTAACAGATATCATATTAATAGCACTATGTATGTATCTATATTATAGACTATAGTAACTGCAACAACTCCCATGTTTCTCATCGTTCGCGCTGCCTGTGAAGTTCCACGCGACTATTGATTTTCTGTTTTCTCTTTGGTTTCAATTACAGATTCGTTCAGATCATATTCCTCATTCTATTGCACAGTTTCTGCACGCACACGCAGGTACTAGAACGCAAATTCACGATTCGGGGTGCGTGTGTGCGATGCGTTCTCGTCGTATATTTACTATTAATTGTTAGCCGTATAACTATGTTGTGCCCCATGCAATGATTATGCTATTTAATGTTCTTCTGATGTTTATTGTTGCTGCTGTTGTTGCTGTTGTTATTGTCGTTATTGTTCAATGTTGAACGTGATTCGCTAACGCCCTTAACGTGTCATACCCGGTGTTCTATCTTTGTCATGACGCGATATTTTACAGAAGTTTGTACTTATGCGTTAATCTATCAGCGTACCCAGGATAAATAGCTATTCTCTCTCAGTGTTCCTGACGTCGTTCGCGACCTGCTCCGTATATACTATTCAACCTAATGTTGTTCCGTAGCTTCTTCAACTTCTTTCTGCCTCTGCCGCTGCTCGCTGTAAGCGTCGTCTTCGGATTTCGATAATCTACCAATCAATCGTCAATTATTTCACAGAAAATCTGGCTAAACGCAGCACTGTCTGAACAGCATTCTGTCTCGGCGGGAGAATCGTCTGCTTTAGCAGACGAAAAATACTCGGCACACGGTTTAATTTACTCGATAATTTTGTTTATGGCCGTTTCTAGTTTTCTGTATAGGTGCTTTACCAACACAAGTTGTAAAAAGTGTGTCTTGTTTTGATATACTTGTTCAATTGTCATCCATGAGAATATTTTATGTATTTGTTGTAGTATCTAGAAGTGGTTGACTGCCGTCCGGGAAGCTGCTCTGGGAAAACACCTCGGCCGGCGGGTCCACCCACTAGACCACCGAAGTAGTAACATGCTCCAAGCATACAAGTCGGACTGATATAGCAGTACGGCGCAAGTTAGACGAATCTGAAAAGGTTGTTGATACTTTTCGCATTTATGTTTGTCTGTTAGAATTCTCTCTTGACACTTGACAAATCTATTTGTCACACGCACGGCTCATAACTGCCACACAGTTCGGGTATTCATAGGCATACGCTCGCGTGTGATGCCGAATGGGTACCTACACACTCAGTATAGAAATTCTAGTAACTATTTGCGACATTCGTACTAAATATAATTTTCTTATTTCAACGAAATTAACTAAAATGAAACTGTTGTAAAGGGCGGTGACGACGCAGACAAACACGCTGTATAAAAAAAGGTCAGTATTTTTGCTTAACCTATTTACGTTATCTATTATTATGATTACTTTTGGCGGGGATTGCGAGTATCAGACCTGAATTCTGTTGTTGCTTTGATACAATGATTATTGAAGGGAAGGGGAGGGGGGGGGGGGGCTTAGGTTGTTGATTCTGTTTGTTGCCGCTCGTTATCGACATCTACCGTTTGCATCGGTTTGTAGTGAATTTCACAGTTTTTGTACTGTCTCTGTTTGCAGTCATCACGATTTATCGCGTAAATCTGCCATGGATGATTTGACGTGAAAGCGACGTTAACGGAACATTTCGTGCAAACACATGCGCGTTCTCCAGCGTCGTTTTTCTTCCAAAGAGCGTGCTCCTTTGTAGTGTTAAAGGTTCATGCCAGGTTAAAATGTGAGATAACATCGACCAAGTTGTGCCTCGCTCTCTGGTGCCTCTTCGCAGATTCGCAGTAGAGCCTTAACAAGCATTTGTGTCTGAAAGGTGCCGAATGCGCAGCGTGTACGTGCCCGGACAAAACGAAAGGTAGCTTTCACTGTCGCATTGTTACAATAACGATATAGTTGTATCAACGTTGTGATTGAGTTATCTATTTAACTGTATTTATAGTGTGTTTTATCGTGCTCTCGCTTTCTACATGAATTTTATTAATGTTTGTATTAGATGTATATTTAAGTATCTACATAGCCGTTATATTTTCACCGCATAGTTATAATTAATAGGCAAGGACCCTAGTCCGTTTATGGTGTAGACTCCAAAAGATTACCTTCGTTAACTAAATTTATCGTTAACCTTATATTTACTGACATGCATTAAGTCAACGGACTACTTACATTCATTCACCTCGCCTGCCATAACTTCCAATTATATGAATTATCGTATTTTGTGGCCCAGTATACTACTAATTGACTAATAATAATAATAACAATGACAAGTTCCATTTGATAGCTCGTACTTCTAGTGTCCATCGATCACAATGTTACTATGTTTTCCTCTCATTTCAGAACACATGAATTTTTCTCGTTAGCATACTTTAAGTCGTCACTTTTCCTATATATATATATATATATATATATATATATATATATATAACACGAAGGATAATAACACATCAGTCATAGTATTTACTCCTATTTATAGGAAGGATATCATTATGATGCTAGAATTTTAACAGTGTTTAGTTTATCAGTGGCGTTTGTAAATGATCATCCTGGTTAATCTCTTGGTAATCTCGTAACCGCATCAGTGTATATGTGTGATGAAGTAGTGTTATAATATTTATAATGATAAGAACGAGGATTTACACTAGTCCTTATTTATTATTGAGCATGAATAAAGGTAGCGTTATTGCTATTTCTTACGCCTTTCTACTGGTAACATGTGGTTGTTGTGACTTGGTTTTTTTTCAACATAGCCGAGCACTTTATGTAAATAAATAGTTTCAGAGGACGCGGAGCTTTTGTCGCATCTGTACACCGTGGAAAGTTAGCGTCATACAATCGCAGATGCTGGTAACTCTGTGCCATGTAGTCGAAAACGGACTCTTGTTATCTGCGCCGCTTAACTTAGCTAAATTTAGAGCAACTGAACGATCCCGAACGATATTTATGAGCAAACGCGTTACGCTAGCCGGTTTTATCAACGGATTGTTTTTCATCTTAGCAAATAGACGAGACGAATGTTAGCCTATTGTTGTTTTAGCGGACTACATTTAGCGAGACAGCATTATTTCGAACGATCACTATCATCAGCAGCAGCAGCATTCACTGGCTACCTCATTTGTTATTGACGTTGTTATTATCTACGCAATACTATTTTTGTGTTGTAAAGTAATAGAGCTGAAGTGTTAGGCTTCTCAAGTAGCGTCGAACGGTGATGGCAAACTAATAGGAGGATGGAAACGAAATGCCTATTTTTCTTTTTCTACGTCTGTCCTTTCTGTAACGAACAATAAGTACAACATTTGTTATTGTTATTGTTGTTGTTGTTGTTGTCGTTGTTATAATCGCAAGCCCCCAATACCGGCAGTCGGCTATCAGTTGTTGCAACAACGATTACGTTGTGTCCATTATCTCCATTGTCCTTTATATATAATTGAATAAGGAATAGTAAATAAGTAGTTATGATGACAAAAACGTGTAACAATATGTTTACACATACATATGTATATAATGTGTAGTTAGGTATCATATCATCCATTGAATCATAGATCATTTTTCACCCTCGTTGGTAACGCTGACTAATTTGGTTAACAATATGAGAGCATCAATTTAAGTATCATTTAATAACAGCGCCGTGCTGTTTTTAGCGACCGGAACCGAGTTGTTGGAAGCTAATTTCCTCTTCCTGTGGGAAGTTCTCTAATTCTGTAATCGTGATCTCGTCACAGAGCAATATAAACTGGCTTTGTGAAGTCGTAACTGACTGCATATATAAATGATTACGAAGTTCACAATAACATTATTTAGCACTATGGCCTAGTGCTCTTTAACTAGCTCATATTAACTTTATTTTTCAAAATTCTTATCGAGAATTCGATCGGCAAATGATTTCCCGTGGACGTTTTTTTTTCCCTGGTCGTAATATTGGCCGTCGTGCCTCAAGCACACACCATTTTTACAGTTAAAGATGATAAACTTGTGTGAACGTGAAAAATCTGTCCTATACGACTTACGTAACAGCTTCGATGAACTAGGGGATCGTCTGCCACGATGAAACGTTTTGCACTAGACACATTGCTCGCCAATCGGGGAATTGTCTACTGAGTTTGGCGACGGTCTGGCTATCGTTGAAATCATGCGTAACACCCACACGACATCTGTGAAGGCCGGCCAACTATTAAATATTCACAGGTGTAGTAATATATGCTAGCACATAACAAAATCTATTGTCATTTAGCCTCAGACAAGCGATGACAGACGAACGCAAGGAACGGAATTTCCTCCATTTTCGCGTTCGAGCCGTCCAATAAATACTACCTTTGCTGTTTAACGGGTTCATGCACGGCTGAACCCTTCTTCACCGCTGCTGCCTAGTGCACACTGAACAAGTGAATCTGTGTGTAACAGCAGCTACAGCAGATTTAATGAGCAAGTTACACGTTATTACATGTATTGTGTTTGAAAGGGCCTAGCATTGGCCTGCTACATGGAGTTCCGTGAAAGCTTACTTAGCTTTGGAAATGTGCTACAGCGGGCCTTAAGCGATGGCACGTCTCGCGCGGCGAGGTGTAGTTACCAATAGTAAATTATAGTAACGCTTTTCGATGACTGCTTTTGCTGCGGCTGATTGCGTACGGTTCTTTGATGTAGATTTGCAATTTGATCGACCTATAGTTAAGACCTTTAGCCCTTTCTGTAACTTGGTCTTTGCCGTGGCCATGTTATTCGTTGGTTGATGTATAAGCATTCATTTTACTGTTGGAAGCGAAGTGGACGGCGGCTAGCAGCTCGGTCGGTTTATTTGTCGTTAGTACCGTTAGCTTAATTATTTCTTTTTCATATCGTATAATTCATATTGTTTGTCCTAGTCGTAGATGGCAGCCTTCTGGCCGAAACGGCGGAAGAGGATCTAAAATTGGTTAGGTGCGTGCAACGGTCGTCTTGTGAGGCTTCTTCCGGACATTTAGGCTTCTGCTAACTTTAGGATTGTTTCCCTATGCGTATTCAATGCTGGACCCGTGCTCGAGCGGGCTTATCAGTACTAATCCTGGCAGATCGCCTTCCCCTGCAGACGGCTTATAAGAGTGGGGTTTAGAATGTCGACCCCGCTTATGAGTAGATGGTGATAACCTCCCGACCTCCTCCACGAACCATCAACACACGTTCTAGACCTTCTGTCAATACTTCCAAGAATTCCATATCTGGAATAACAGTAGAACGAACATTATCATTTGTAAACGTAGAAAGAATTTGTTAGAAAAGAAGTGGGTTCAATATGACTGTTCATTCATCTTGACTTACTAACACATACATTTTAGCATACGTACTTTGTGCCTGTACCTGAAATAGGTGAGGGTTTAATCATACGCAAAGATACGACCTAATTAATTAGTGGCATGAGACATACAATAGTGTTATAAGGTTTGCGACATTATATGTGTATACATTCTCTACATGAAATATAGGAAATCAGAAATAAGCCCTTTATAGACTTTAACGAAAAGCTGTTTTTGAAAAATAGACCAGGCTTCTGCAATCGTTGCATCCTTACGTTAATGGTGACGATGTATAAGCAACATTCTAGGGTACTGTATATGTATACTTGAGTAGGGGCTAGGAAACACCGAAGATCTGTGGTGAACTAAATAGCCGCTGATTTTTTATTTTTGCCAGCAAACGCATGTGGAAAAATCGGATTTTCATCATGTCTTCCAATAACATTTTCGACATACTGTCTGCGGCAGCAGTTACCGATACACAAACAAACCGATACAAACAGACTTTCTTCAATACGGCACAATTCTGATGCGGCATAGACATCGTTAAATCGATTTGTTTTCTTCATTCCATTCGCTTGAGATGGGGTAATACGTTTAGTTAATACGCAAACTTACAGTTCTCCTCTCCTTTTGCGATGCGTGGCGGACCCGGGAGATTGATAATGACTAACTGAGAATCGTGACTCTTGGCCACTATCACCTCGTTGAGCTTAACCGCCGTATGCATACGTCTCACGTTTGCTTCGTCCCTTGAAATGAAGTAAGTGAAGAAAAACATGTTAGGTTTTGTACGTGAAGCTGACGCGACAGGTCCGACTGGGCTCCTCATACCGAAAGCACTGAAGAAAAGTTGATGTTAGGGTTCCCTTGCTCTTTTTTCTACCCATTAGTGAATTGAGCATTGTCTAGTAATTAGCTTTTCGCCAGTAATTGGCTTTGAGCAAACCTATGACAAATACGTCATCTTCTGGCGAAAACACAGATATGCATAGATATGCATCTGTCCAATCTCTTGTTAACACGTGAAATAGGTGGCCATTGTGATTATGTTTTAGCTTATGGCGTATTGCTGCTATCAGAACAATAAATGTTGCATACGGCTTGATTTTGAGTAGGTTGTCGAAGCCTTCCGGTGATGTATTAGGGCCTGCGTCTGAGCTGGGTGACGCTGCTTGCGCAGGAGTTGCCGATTGCGCCGGTGAGGCCGCTGCTGGCGACTTGTCTTTGCCGGCCTGTGAAATTGGCGTTCCATCAACAGCTGTCTGTGAATGCGCTGAACTACGGCGCGAGCCGGCTGCTGATCCACCACCGCTGATTTGAAGCGACTGAGGTCACAAAGTTATCGGAAGTAACCGAAAAGCGGAAGCAACGTTACTAGGCGTATGCGGACGATTATTTCCCTATTATAATTTAGTATAGCACTAGCTGAACCTTCCAGCACCAGTAAAAGCATTATCTGGTTATATTATCGTTACCTATTGCTGTTATTTTTGTTTACCTGGACATCTACCAGTTCATATCCGTCGGCGTTCTCGTTGAAGCGAACCCTCGAAGTGTGGTTTTGTCCACCGCTACCGTGGTGATGATGATCCATGATCGTTTGTACCTTTCAAAAACACAGAGTAAGGTGTATAGCAGTTAGCTCAACCTCGGGCGTCAGCAATAATTGTGAAACTGCATCTCCGTCATCGACCTCTCACGTATGCGTCGCATGATACGCGTTGCATTTTATGCATACTTTGATTCGAAACTATCACGATGAACTTCAACGTAGTTAGGAGGAAAGCTGCAGATCATACATTTAAAAATTCCATCCATCTTAAGCTATCTACATACGTACCATACTGAGTGTCTCCCGTCGATTGAGGCGGAGGTGTTTGAGCATCTCACTACGCTGCTCCATCATTAGCGTACGTTCGTATGTGTATGCCGAAATATCGCTTCCGGTCATCTCGACAACCTCCACTTCAGCATCGATGCGGAGGTGATACAGGAACGTCGCCAGATCCTGTGTAAACAGCCAGTACAGAAAACAAGCACATCTTTTGCTATTGAGTAAATGATTTTTGCCGTTAGTCCCTGTGATATCATCCGCAGAGCACACAACAGCTGTGTGCTCCACATTGACCCCTTTGAGAATTACACACGAAGAGCTTTTCTATAAAATTAATTGACTGATCATGAGATTTGCGGCCTCTTATCAGAAGCAACAGGATCTCTCTGCAATTAGCTAACCTTTTTCATCTGGATAGAATTGTCCTCGAGTTGGGCAACGGTGAAGATGCGCAACTTGCAGTTCTTCCAAACCTGGGGGACGTTGAGAATTAAAGGAAAAAATTATATTGAATAATAATAATAATAATAGTAGTCAATAATAGTCCAATGTCTCTGTATTCGTTTTTTCTATCTTAGTGGTAAATGATTTTTCTGGCAGGGAAGTTCGATCGAACTACATTTCCCTTTGCATCAGTTAAAATTGAATGCCACGCTATATATATATATATATATATATATATATATATATATATATATATATATATATATATATAGCGTACAGACAAGTACAATACTTATTATTAACACAAGAAAGGCGACACTGCGTGCTACTTAATAACTTTAGCATAAACTTAAAAACAAGTACGCACCTTGTGTTGCTTGAGCAGGAACGGCAGCAGCATCAACAGGCCACCATCGTCTGCGAATCGCTAAGTTCAGGGTTATCACGCAAAAGTCATCACTGACAAAGGAGCAACTTTTTGTCCTTTTTGGTAACTTTTAAATATTAATAATAATAACCGTAAGTTTTATCTAATATGTACATACTATGACTAATTCCGCTATCTAATTACATTAAAATAAAGTATTAGACGCAAGTGTGTTTACAGACTATAGCACAAATTAAAGCCGCTTATAGGACAACACAGGCAATAATAAAGATCAATCAACCGGGGAAAGCTGGAAAGCTTTTTTTTTTTTACCAAATCAAGGGCACTCTTACCCTAAGCAAGTGATTCAACTCCAGGTGTTTCAATCTTCAATTAGATATATGTGTCGTTAACGCCTGCACGTTTCACGCTACTTTCGCATGTTTATTACCTCGAAAGTTCTATAGCCCCCAATCTTGTATCTGTGACTGTTATATCCCATGTCCACAGCATGTTCCTTTCCGAATTCCTGCCGTCAGGTCGTCGTCCATAGCTTCGCTATAGGTCAGGTTGCTCTTACGTAAATCCTTTACGAAGACTTTGATCAAGCATTCTTGACCGCTTTGTATCAGTATCGTACCAGTCGGTATTGATGATTAGCTTAAAGCATCTCAGTTTGTACCAGTCACGTTGTCTTCTATTGCTGCAGATATATGAGCCTTTTTCTAAGGCCCAATCTAAGCCCACTAACAACCCGCAACTTGCTGTCGGTAAGTGCTCTTCCAACAGAGTCAGGCGGAAATGCTGCGCCATTGTTTTTTCGTCGAGGAAACAACCAGATGATTAAGGACTGAACAAATGCTTTTATTACTGAACTGAATTAGATTGTTCGTGTGGCTTCAAAGATTGACGTCGAGGCTGACTTCGACGACGCTCCCCAGTTTCTACATGTTGTCATTTGGGTCTGTCTCATTTCCATAAATACTGAAGGAGGAAACACAATTGATAGGATGGTTTAATTTTAGTTGATGTTTTCATAGTATCTGCCTAATATTGACGCGGGGATACCATTTTTCGTCACCTGTAACAACCTCGTCCACTTATGTCTCGGCGCCGGGCAGTACGCTGAGAGGCAATAAAAAGCCGTTTTTCTTAATGCTTTTAACTCAGTTACAGAACAACTAAACTTCTAGGTTTTGAATAACGTCTATTGAGTGAGGATGGCTAAAGATGGCACTTCATCCTCTAACTTAATTCGCGAGTCCTTTGCCACCCACCTTAGTCTTCCAATGCTCATGCTTAGACTTCGAATGGCTAACTGGGACAAAATACATCCCCTAGTTCAGAGATGCTTCGATTAATTTAGTAAATAGCTTATGAGCAATTTTTGTGGACATGGGATTTTCACCGAACTTCGGGCTGTTTAGGCAGTTTTTTAATCTTGGCAGAAAGCGAAGCATAATATAAGAAGCACCTCTTTATACCATCACAATTACGTCCTTCGACTTCCGTTCGTTACACAAAGAAACAGGCTTATGGAAAGGATAGGAAATACTCCCGTATGGAATATAAAAGTAACAGATGGCGGAGAGGGAAAAGGAAGGAGGAGCATTTAAATAAACTGTTATTCTAAGCAGAATAATAATGATAAAAGTAATAAATATAAAGTGTCCCCAGTGGACTTTATACTGCTGCGATTTTCTTTTAATGGCAAAGTGAGTTTTTGTGATTTGTCGCTGCCAGTCGTAGGCAAAAGGATACGGACTATCCACCAGACGTCGATAGTACCCCGGACGCGCTCGGTATTAGACGGGAACTGTTGAATGTTCTTCGGGACCAAAAGGGCATTCTTGCTTGCTGACACGTTACGGATTGTCTCTGCAATTTGAAGGTAGTAAAACAGGAAGATAAAATAAACGTGTTATGCATTTCATTAGAGTTTACTTTTCCTAAAGATCACTATTGTGCTTAAATTAAGTTCCATACACAGGTTTTTTTTTCTCGTTTTACTTTTCCCCTATCGCTGGGTGTCGTCAAGCATCAAATATAGGGTAACGCAGGCGCGACATATATATAGTGTTGTCTACACAGACTACATGGCTTAGGTAGAAAGACGGGTCGAGATCTTTTTTGCTTTTTAACTAAAATTTAACAGTAGTTTTGGTCAAATAACCAATTTGTTGTGTTTTATACTTCAAATAAAGTATTAGCGGGCGGAGGATCATACTTAGTAACGAAGAGACGCAGGTTTCAGCGTCCAAGTGCAATTTCGATCGCTGACCACTTTTTTTTTTCAAATGAAAAGCAATGTTGTGATAATGGGCGTTTTTGTACAAAAACGATAAAAACGTGTTAGCTCGTCGCTAGCAATTTCATCAATTGATGCATAGTCTTAGTTTGAACACTTGCGTAACAACGGAGTCCCGCCTGTAGATACGGCGCTGTTCAGCAGATTTAGCAGTAAATGTCGTTTTATCATGGACTTGAATCAGAAAATTGAGCTGATTAAGCTTGTTTTACAAATATGGCTCCTGAAAGGTTCCATTATTTACGACGGTATCGCATACCACGTGTTAAGCATGGCTTCCAGGACCATTTTGTAAAAAGGACCGAAACAACTGAACCTGCATCTATTGTCTTCTAGGTTCTTGCGAAAAATCTTCACCGAAGGAGACGTCTATGAAGTAATTAAGAATATGTTAAATAATGTAAATATCTAAATTTTCTGCCGATCACTAATAGTTGAGTTTGCTGCTCGGTTAACGAAGAGAGCAGTGCCCCAGGACTAAGTGTGCAGGACACGGAAAGCGTCGCGTGTTTGTTGCCTAGACTGAAGGGCAGTTGCAGTGCTATTCTAATATCGTATGTAATCATTTCTATCCTACTGGATTAATGAACAAACAAGACGTCACAGTAAGAGTTCATGTAATAGCGAGCTTTGGGCCCTCGACAACTAATAAGCTGACATAATCTTCTTAGACAATAGATTTCAATAATTACGCTCAATGTAGTTACACAACCTAGTGGGTTTCATCCTGAGCCCATAAAAATCTTCTTTGTGGGAGCGATCCGGGTGACACGATATTTAAAACATAACGAGAAAATTTGCTGTTTATCTTGTAATCGCGGCACTGTGTGTATAGACACGCTGGTGTTAGTTTTCATAATTTGATCTTAATACATCAGGAATGGGTAACCGCTCTAGGAGTTCAACTTCTGCTGTTTCTAGCCCTTTCGTCTCACATAATGGTGCTCCGATATGTACTGCCACCCTTGTATTTCAGTGGGTCAAGAGTAGTCAAACTTACCCTCTGGATTGCGTTCATATTTGGACAATACGGTCCAATACGCATGGACAATATCAAGATGTCCTTTTTTTCATGCGGAGTAATCTCTAAAGTAATAAGGCAAAAATCATCACGCACCATAATCCAGTCGTTCTCCGAAAAAGCATATGAAATCTGTTTCAGGCAATACAGAAGGAAATAGTTGTGATTCGTGTAAATCAAAATACACAAACCTCTGTTGTGGTTTAAGCTAGGCAATGGGGTTTTCAAAATTATATCATTTCGTACAGCCTAAACGACCTTGGTTGAAGTAAGCCAATATAAGACGACACAAAAAAAAGTCTCAAAAGTTTGATGAACTTTGTCCATGATCAGGTATCCTAATGACTATAATCAGCCATTTAGCAAAAACTATGATGTTTTTCTTATTCGAAAGGACTGCGATTACGGCTATAGAAGTTAAGTCCTAAATTAAGTAGGCCAAGAGTTATTGGTCTAATCTAGTCCACAAATGTCTGCTGCCCAGCCTGAAGCAGTGTGGCATATGCATGAATTGTGTATTATTTAAGAAAAGCGTAACTAATCAACTAGACCAGACTGAAGTCCGGATATTATGTATCATTCGTATTAGTTTGTCATTTATAATTGTCATTTATAACGCAATGATGTGGATATATTGACGGTACTGTTTTGCCCACCATGCCGATAAAACCATAGTTATTAACATTTCTTTCAAATGCAATGATATGTTTCACGTTGTTGACAGCAGCGAAACCTAGTGCAATGGCGTGAAACTATAAGATTTGGGTTCAACTTGACATATACGCACTACTTAGTAAACTGAGACCACTTGGTCGTTTTTAAATATTTCCGCGAAATTAGCATCGCTAGCACGTGGGTCATACAGCTCTGCCTCACACTAGCCCACATAGTCTCCGAAGTGATCATGACTTCTTTAAACGTTACTCGCTTTCATCCTGCCTTTGAAGGTGCAAGTTCAGGTCAGACGAAACTGTAGCAGAAAGGCGAGGTGCTTATCTTGTTTCGTTATCATTCAACGAAGGTTCGGTAGAAATACTTCACTGCCTCACAATGCCCCCCTTGCAAAATTTGGTCCTCTTTGCACCAGGAGATTCACGCAGTGATCTACGCTTAAAGCTTTACGATGCAAAGGCCTCGCTAGACCTCGGCTGGTTATTTTAAAACGTTCGTTGTGATGCTTGTGCGATGGAATATATGAATCGCTCGTTATTGCTTTGACTAAACGCAAGCCACTTCACGGCCGATAAGAAAGTTCTGCAGCGCTATCTTATTCAAAAAAATCCCTGTCTAATACCGTAACATTTTGGTAAAAGCTGCTCAGCACTGCGTACTAGGCCACGGTCGTCAATCACCGAGTTATTCGTGTTGTTTCAATATATCAAACTGAACGCATATTTTCGTAAAGGACATGTAGTGCTAGAAGTTCGATTGACGGGTATAGCTATCCGACCAACATATAAAATATAGCACTGCAAGATTCTAAATGTTTCAAGGAACCCGTCTTGCACCGATGAGCAGCGAGCCATGCTTACTGAAACAGTGTGGGCTAAGCTCATCTTGGTTGAACGATGAAAACCGATAAAATGTGGGTTTTGGGTTGCAAAAATGTAGTTGTTCATTAGGACAAACGCTTCATACGTACAAATTGCTTGAACGTACTCTGACAGAATAAACAATGACTCTGTACCAGAATATCAATTGGTTACCGTACGCCGACAGATTTACGGCGCGTGAAAGCCGTCTTCAAGATGCAGGGATAGGGAAGTACATTAAACGTGGTATGAATTGAATCTAATGTGAATTTATTTTTAAAAAATTTGCACGATGCACCATTTACATAATACGACACTAACGATAGCTGACGTTATACCTACTTTGATTTAATACATCGTCTGGCACCTGATCAATATATTCTGTTGTCTATTCTACCGCTGAAAATAACATATACCGATGAAGACGCGCCATGCATGATCGTCGGGACTTTGTCTCCATCCGTACGGCCAGCCAAGAACTACAGTGTTGTGTTTCAATCCTCCGAGTCCGCTGGTCTGGATCCTGTAAAAAAAAGATGGCAGAACAAGGTGGAGTTAGTTCGACTTACGATGATACGAGCGAAAGCTGTAAGAGCAAATTCAATTGCCTTTTAAGGTTCGTAGTGCCATTTCGAAAACACCTAAGCAAGCCGTTAGAAGCTGGTACCTAAATAGACGTTATGTAAGCAGTAGATATAGGACTTACTACTTAAGACTACTAATCTAGCTTGCCTTGTCCAGCATACTGCGCTTGACTCACTGATATAATCTACCTGAACTCGTACCCATTAATAGTTTTTACAGAGGAAACAGACACACTAAGCACGGGGGAGATGAGCTGATTTTATATTAGTTAATTTAACCGGAATATCCACTTGTTCAATACACTTTAACCAAAATAACGGATGACTGTAAGTGTAGCTCAGTTTAATTCAATATATATGTGGTGGTCGAAGGCACTCGGTAGGACACGAGGGTACCTACGCGGCGGAATCGACGTTGCTGCAAAGATAAGCTTCCTTCCGTAAAAATTCAAATTCAGACATCTTAACTCGTGCAACGATCCGTTCTGCTTGATCCTTCGAAAAAATCTTGGAACACGCATCGGCTTGAAGGTGCCTCGAGGAGAGTTACCGATCAGATGATAACTTTTAGATGTGAAGTAACAAAGTTGTTGAGCATCTACACGTGCAGTTGTGTTCTTTTCAGGAAGACAGTCAATAACAGCTTACATCAATAACAATACGCGAAGATCAGCGTAGGTTTATTAGCAATTTTTTTTGTGCGCTAAAAAGTAATAGTAAAGGTTTTGTTGCAAATGCTTGCTTTCTTCTTTACCTCTTTGTTGCTGGTTTGCTTCTATATGTCATTAGAAAGCACGCTGTTTCCTGCACGTGTCCGCAGTAACTTTGCCGTATTTCAAGTTTATCAAAAGCTAAATAAATATTCCCGGTGTAAAAAAAATTCTCAACATCGATCTTGTCTCGATGTTTGTTGACATCTAGAGGCACCGAAGCAGACGCGGACATTTGAGCTGGGCACAGCCAGGGCTCCACAATTTAAAAACCACTTAAAGGTAGCTTGCTGAATGCATTTTGGAAGTGCAAGTTACACCCGGTCCGGTCCGCCATTCGGGATTGGTGAGGACCCCCTGAACCACTTGGGAACGGGAACGATTAGCAAAGCTAGTAAAACGGGTAAGAAAGGAACTGTGTTCATGCGACTCTGATTAGCCGTCCGCAGTCTACAGAACACACGCTTTAAAAACAAAAGGCCTAGATGCTTCAAAGACTGAATGAAGGTACAAACAGGCAAAAGCAGTTTCTCATTACCTCCCAAAATTTTGCCCGGCACCGAGCAATGTGCAATGGCAGATCCCTGCACGAATCGCTACGGACGACAAAAAACGTTGTCTCTTTACTTCAAAACGGAGCAGACAAACGAATGGAACAGATGAGGCCGAGCAATTAGTGGGAAGATAAAAATTGATACAATGTTTGAAAAATGAAAAAAAGCCCGTAGAAAGCTGCGGAGAATACATAGTAAATTATATTTTGGCCAGGGTTCGCCAAAAACGGCATATTTTTGCTAAGTGAAAGAGCAGCCGTTACTTTATGAGGTACTAATGCATTGATATTTTGAAGGCTCGACGTACCATTCACACTTCGTCGATCATTGGACGATCAATAGTAGACTAATTTTATGGTTCACATGCAAACCCAACGCTGATACCTAAATAACTGCTCCTCTGGGCCGGCGATTCAGGTGCCGCGTGTCTTATTTGTAGCTCGATACGGAGTAGATCCGTTCTTGTAGAAAATCCGCGATGTAGGCGACGGTAAAAAGCGTCACTTACTCTGAACTTTTCCATACTATTTGGATCGTCCGACAAAGAGCAATTCATTCAAGACTCTACTGACTTCGCTCTTTTTCCTGCCTATGGAAAAAAAAGTCCGATAGAAAGAGGCAGAATTGATCTCTGCTTACTCTGACGCCTACGATAAGCATGGAAACGTTGCTTAGCAAAGATCATTTAGCAATGCAGCGCTATTTAGGTAATAATACATGTTGAGATAGATAAAGAAAGCCTCAGTTATTTGTAGCTTGTTACATTTTGGCCTCACCGTAAAGAAATACGTGACCTGACTATTATTATGTGAAAATCATCTTATATTTCTGAGTATGTAAAAGAGAACGAGGCATCATTCTTCAAGTCGACAATTACTTAACACCGGTTAAGACATACCGTAGCGTCCGAAACCTGTGACAACTTTCCTGTAACAACATGATTTCAATTCATATGAGAAAAGATAGTAAGCTAGGGAATGTACGAACTTAGCACGCTGCATGACCGTACAAGTTTTTATCCATGTAAAATGTGTGGACAACAAATGTCCCTGCTCTCCGGGACCTCCATTTTGTAATGTGCCCCTTCTTATATTCACTAATAAAAACTGTCAGTTTAGATATCCAACTTATTGTTGGATCTCACTTATCTGAATAGATAACCATTATTTTAGCTTACGTTTCAGATCATCCAAGCACAAATAGCGAACGTGTAAATAAACAGCAACACGCTCAATAATCTCCTACTTCATACTCGAGTGTAAAATGGCTACAGACATCTTTCTTGGAAATTCTCAGAATCTGTCCTACCCATACCGAAATCTGCTGTATGTGTCTGTATAGTTTAATAATAAAATGCTATAACAGTGAACAAAAGAAACCGAGGGTTTCTGCTATCGCAGCTTATAATACTGCACGTGAGCACAGGAGCGGGCCGGTGGCAAAGATTTAAGCTGTCAACCAGTGTCGGCCTGGTCCTACTTAATATTGATATCAATATTGATGCTGGGTAGCCGCACCGCAGATCTTTTTCTGTACAGGAAACAGAACGCTATTTGTCAATTTGCGCTGAAGGCAGCTTGCGGGGCTGGAGTTAGGGAACGAAAGATTGACATGTATGCCATGACATTAATTGGGACATGTATGCTTTCAGTAGAGCACGGGAACCTCCAAGAAGATTCGCTTCGCCTTGCAGTGGAGTACCATCTGCTGCCTAAGGCGCGCCAGCCCAACAGATAGCATTTCTAGACTTTTGTTAATAAATGTTTCCATATAACTTGCGCCTAGCGCGCACAACTAGGATACTTATGAAGAAAACAGAATTTCCAGAACTGCACTAGGATCAGCAGAGTCTATTAGTCTGAACGTCCGCTACTGTTACCAGTAATCAATAATAATTTTCCTAGGCTATTGCTTTTGTTGTCTCTGTAAAAAGCAAGGAGCTAAAAGCACCGCGGATAAATCGACTAATTTCACGTCATCAGCTTTAAATTAATTTTATCGACTTCTGATCGAGTTTTGGATTGCTCCTAAACTATATTCCATATGCGTGAAAACGAACCCTCGTTCCTGAGTTTAACCCGGCCAGCTTCTCCAACTGTCCCTTCCTCATCGTACGGTCTGAAAGACTCTGTGGATAAGACTTTACGCGTTCACTAGAGCAAAACATTTTAGCCTGCTTCGACCGGCTAGGTAATCCTTTTTTCCATTAAAGTTTATCCTCTCTATACGTTTTTCGCTCTCTTTAACGTACTAACGCATACACTCGCTCATATTCGGTTCACCTGACTTGAACCAGAAGACCCCATTTATTAAATTCCTTCTGTGTCTGAAGCCAATTATCACGATTTATAGCCACAGCTGAGTCGAATTTCTGTCAGAGAACCGCTGCAGGGTTTCTCTGAAAAAATACATCCGTTTTTGCTACGTATTGAACTGCCCCCATCACTATCACAAGACGAAACAGAGACACGTTTTCCATGCTGCTTGGCAGGACTTCAATTGGGATGATCCAGGGAGGGAGTTGATGGCTGAAGATTTAGACTCGGCTAGGGTATGAGGCAGACAAAGACACAGCGAAACAGGTCAGACACCAGAACACGATCCCTAATTTAATACATCGTGATATCCAATTGCGGCCGAACAATGAGAGCGAGACGATCTGAATTCTCCGGTCAGGTGTGGGTAGGGTAGCAACATTACCAATTGCCCCCGAACAGATTACCTCCCCTTTGTCGATGTTAGCCTATTTGTAGATTGATCAATTTTTTTTCGTTGACGAGCGTAATAAACGTAGAGAAAACACGACGGGGTAATCGTCAGACACGGATTGAACGGAAGCAGTCCAAGAATTCAGCCACCGGCTAGCGGGAGCTTCAAGTTCTAATATCTGAACAAGCTTTACTCAGTAGCCGCAACATTTGGGTTTCATTCGCGCCTGTTTCATTCATTAGCATCGCTATGGTCGTAACTGTGTGCGCCTCGAACTGTTCAGGACTGCCCTTGTGGCGTTTGCTGCAACGGCGTCCGACCGCTGTCATCTGCCGGCTTTTGACATAGTGACAAAACACAACGAAACTATCGCCATCGTCAGCATTGGTCGTTAATATAGCGAATGAAAAATGCGAAGCAGATGGCGGCAAGGTATAGGCCAAAAAAAGGTGGAAAAGTGAATGCATTTCAGAAAAATTAATGGGACAGCTTTGTAAAATATAGATGGCCTAGAATGTCTTGAGGCCTGATAATAATAATACAATATATGACGCGTACATTGATAACAGCAGTCAGCAGCTGTCATTGAGAGAGCAGCGATAGCGATCGATGGGGAACAAAGTGTTGGCGTGTGTGTCTAGCGCCTATGTAACCGATAGAACAATAATTGCCCGTCTTCAGATGTCGAAACGTGAAATCGGTGTGACCTTATATATTTGATAGGCATCGATAGAAGGTATGATGCTATATAGTAGGTGGCTAACGCGCCCCACAGCAGTTTACCAGCTATATATGGCAACCGTTTGGGAGCAACGTAGTGGCAATTAAGGAGATGTTTGTTAAAGTTATCGTTTATTCGCGTTTCGCATTAGAAGCTCTCCTAAACCTAGTCTTTTGGTACGACAGAAGAAGGATTTTTTACTTGAGAGTGAATCGTACGACTCACACATTAAGATGTTCACAGATAGTTGTATATGTGTATTTACTGTTCTTCAAACCTAAGCGGTCTCGTTTTGCCACTGTCCTTTGGAGAATCCTGCCCCTTTGGTCATGATAACTACATACATACGGTATTAGGTAGGCATATAACATGCGGACATTTGTGTCCTGTTGAAACAGCGAAAGAAAGTATGTGATGGAAGATTAGTAGTCTTTGACATCTCAGTTACTGAGACGTTGTGAATCAGTTATATAACAGAAGCAGGAATATACTGCAAAATAGCTAAAAATTTTGGGCGCGAGGATGCAGGCGCGCGCGAGCCTAGGTCTGCGTATAGTTTGCAGTGCACGACGGCAGATCGGGAAACCCTTTCGAATGGTTCCATCCGCGTTTATTGGGGTGTGTATTCTTATGCCATGATTTTTCCATAAAAGCTATAGTTATCATATGATACAGTAACGCAATATTCAGTGATCCTGCTGTGCTCAAGAAGTGGAACGGAGCTGCTGTAAAACACTATATATTCATATGATCGATGTTGCCTGAGAGCCAGTGGCTATCGAAAATGATGAGAGCACGATGAACAAGATAACTCTCTCTGACGTTTCTGCATATACAAAACATATACTCAACGTAATTGATAAACAAAAAAAGCACAAAATAGTAATTATATTTACTGCACGTATACTGTTAGTGAGTGGTGCAGCGTATCGATCAGGAATCGCGGTTGATATTAGAAGCGTAATAGATAACACTTTTTCATCATTGGGAATTAATCGATATTGTGGATCAGACCCCCCCCCCCCCCCCGAATTATGATTTCTTATAGTTCATTACAGGATTTAAATGGATTTTTGGACATGTCACTGAATCAGGATATCAATTGACTCACATATAATAGTCGGTGTACCTTGTGTGCCTTTATTAGGTTGCCTATCTGCTATACGCTATTTTGTTATTAAGGTAGGCCTTGTTATCTTCGATTGTCGATGGTCTTTCAGCTATCTCCTTTAATGTACACAGCTAACGGTGCAGTTACTATTATCTTGCTTGACGGTATTTTTGACCTGCGCACTTAGGAAGCAGCACGTGCCGGGAATATTAATAATGATTATAGTAATGCTATTGCACGTGGCTACCTGCTGTATACAGACTGCTTGGGGTGCACGGAGTTCTGCTGAAACTGAGATTCTTTTTTTTTTTATTTGATTTTCGGGAAGACGATCGGTTTGATTTTGCCCCACTTTTCCATGCCCTTTAATCTTAAAATGCACTTTGTAATGAAGAGATAATTGGACAGATTGCGCTCAATGTACTAACAGAAGGTTATAAAGTAATTTTTTTAAAAGTTTCTTGCCGCCACAGGATTAAATCACGTTGCTGTATGCCTATCTTAGAGTCTAGTATTAGAAAGACAGAAAAGAAATATTTTTTACTCTATCTCGTGTCATAATTATTGACAATTAAAGTGATGCAAACGTTTGTTAAAAATGAGTCTTATCTGAGGAAATCTCTGGCCGTACTTGGTACCCGATCGAGAGCAGGTAACAGATACAAGTTTTTTTTTCTATGGAACTTACAGATGTCCAATTGACGAGACGACGCTGCTTCCAACGACGACCTCCGCAAAGCCTTTGACGCGCTCCTCTTGAAGGACCCGTTTCAGACTTAGTTTCGATGCTTGTGCTTCAGCTGCCATTTTCTGGTAGTCACCTATTGAATCAGCAGACGGTGTTCAGACATGTTCGAGTAAAATAGTATTATTATCCTTACATAGTACAATCAATAGACGAATGAAAGAAACAAAAGACCTAGCGCTCATGCGCAGTAACTGCGATATTTAGAACTCTATATATATGTTGCGACAAAATTAGCAGGGTCTTAGCTTTCAAGTTAGGGTAAAATGCTAGACCACCTCAGGAATTAAGCATCACAATTAGAAAGCTATTCTTCGAACTGGAAATGCGCGTAGTTCATTAAATCCGATGGCCACAAGGGTAGTCGTCGTTGTACAAGCGGGACTACTTTCTAAAATATTTTCAGGTAGATACTTTACCGCAAAAGCAATGGGACTTAAGGGAGTACAATAGCAGGTTAGGTAAGTATGGCCGACAATTGAATTACAATGAAAAAAATCCTCCTTGAAGTTGATGGATTCGATTTAAATGAAGCGCAAGAAAAAGAACGAGGCACTCTCGTTTAAGCCAGTCCCATAGTTTATGTTCATTCGAATAGGTTTAAGATATTCATCGGAATAGAGAGATATGGTCTTTTTTTTTTACTTCAACGTCTTGAAGAGTACATACGAACAACATTTTCCGAAATTGCTTCAGTGCATGTCTACGAGTATAGAACGCTATAATTAATCGGACAACGTTTCTCTGAGGCAATTGAAGCAGGAGAACTTAATTTTTTCGAATATCGCGGCTAAACGCGTGGCGAATCGTCGTGGCCCGTTTTGAGATCGGATTCATTGGAGACCCTGCCGGTGATTTCATCAGCTGTACCGAATAGGACAAGAAAAAACCTTTTCAAGAGCTTTTCCGGCTCATAGTAACTCTACCCATACTAGGTTGGGATGACTTCTACACAAGCAGCTCGCTGATTGTGGCGGTGATGTATTATAGTGAGCGGGACCGAGCTCCAGCTAAGCTCGGCGTTTTAGAGCATATCTCTGGCCTAGGCAGCGAATTCGACATTCAGCTACTCCATCCAGGTGCTCGACGGTCGCCGGTGGGCACTTAACGAAGTCTAGTTCAGCATTACGCTAGTACCACCAATTGTGGCGGAGTGCAAGTTTATCGTTATGTGGAGAATGTTGGTCCTGGCTAGAGACAAACAAAAAGCAAAATTCCTTGTATGGTTGTGTCGTATAAAAGAAACTACTTATTCAGTAAACAATGGCCCGACTGAGAGCGTCGTGACGGATATCTTTCTATATAAGATTCGATTCGGGGTGGGACAGCAAACTGTAAACGATCGACGAACGTACCGGCACTGTCATCGCAATGTAGGCTACGTGGCGTACGAAAATAGATCTTCGTATGTAATCAAACAGACAGGTAGTGATGGTACACGATGCTAATGCAGTAAGAAAACTAGTCTATAAAATAGAAAAAAGACGTAGTACTGACTGAAACTAGACCTAGTAAATAATTGTTAGCGTTTTTCATTTTATTAAAAGTTAGAAGGAAAATGGTTAAAAGCATCAACGTTGTCTTCGATGGTAGCGTGAACACGCACAGAACGATCACAATCCAGATAACTGACGCAAATAGCAATAGTGCGATGAACTTCCGAAGATCGATCTATGTGTAAGTATTACATTGAAATTTATGACTGTGCTATTGGTGAAGCAACCCAAGCACTTAAGAACTCAACCTATTGTGTGTTTCACGTTATCAATACCTAATCACAGACTCCAGGCGCAACGTTGCACTCGCTAACAAAGTTAGTATCAACCAGTTGCACGCGCGTGATGTTATAGTTAGTGAAACTGTAGAGGAACTATTACAAAGTTCCGGGCGGTCACAGGCGGATAAGGACGATTGATTTGATTCCAAACATGATTTAATTGTGCTGTTGTAGTTTCGGTGGAGCAAGGACTGCAATGGTGCAGGCAACAGTCGAAGCGTCAGGCTGCCAGATAAGAGAATGACGGGCCACTTGTATTAGCGAGCGTTGAGCAGGCCTCAATGTAGTTGGCTCCTTGTCCTTCCTTCTGCAATGCCTCCAACAACGGTACTGCTAAGGTTTGTTGCATGGGAAGTGGAATGCAGCCACACTGACGAGAAACGAGAGGGGATTGAAAAAAGGTGCTAGTTTGGCTGCTGCTGCTGCTGCTGTTGCTGCTGAAGAGGAAAAGCCAGTGCAGACCGTCTATAGATGCCATTATCAAGTGGAAGAAGTAGACGGCCTTTTTAGCAGGGGATACCTCGACAAAGTCCAGAGTGGGAGGCACCTCTTTGCTGAGGCGTTAACCATGTAGGGTCGGTCGCTAATTGGTGGTGGCTGCTCTTCACTGGCTCCCTCGCACCTTAGCCTTAGTCGTCCTTTTAATTTAACTCACCTGTTGACATTAGCCAGGCACCGTCTTACTGACGATGTCCGCGCCAGCCGGTGATGTCTTCTTCTTGGCGCCCTCGGCCGTTTCCGATTGCGCGCACCGGAGCGAGAGGAAAGCCGATACAATACTCCACACAGAGGAAAACTAGAAAATCTGTGAAAGAAGAATCCAAATGAGCGCTACAATGCGGGCTCGAGTGAGATCAAAGGATGGCCAGGAGGATGCTTCGTTGTACTACGCGTTTGGAAGACACGTCCAAAATGGAAATAAAGTACGAGGAGCTTTCGTTCACAAACCAAGCCCGACAATATGGCGACGCAGTTAAAAAAAGGCCAAAAAAACTCGGATACTTAAACTCCAAGTCAAAGGCCAGTCTTTTAGACCAAGCCGATCAGCCAAGACGATTTTAGAGTGGCGCTCAAGGAACAGCAGTAAGGAACGGTTCGCTCGGTAGTAACATTTTTATGATCTTGGCCTGAGGTTTCAAAGAACAAGGCTGCTAAGGGCAAAAAAAACTCTTGGAAAATCTGAATCGGCAAACTGGTTTCTTGCATAGCAGAATGTCGACCAGCAACTCTGTACCACATGTGTTTAGCAGCCCACCCCGATCCAGCTACGATAGTAAGAACCGATAGGACACACTTCTCCTTAGCTGGAAACGTGTTGCATTTCGAAAATTATTTCCTTTGGCACTTTTTCACAGTACCTCAAAATTTTTATAAAAAAAAAAACACTCGGTTTGATCATCTAGCCTCGCGGTTGCCTCGTCGTTCCCTAACAGCCTTCAAAGGTTTAGCCAAGAGTCAGGGGCTGCTCACACAAGACACCAAGCACTCTCAGGATGAACAGCTTACGCATGTCAGCAATCCACATTGAACAATACATAAAATATGTCAAATATAGGTTAATATCATTGGCGTATCTATATGTATCAATATATATGCGCGAAATTATCTAATTAACTCTGAAAAAAAAACTGTATTTAAAAATGTTTCACGCTGGCATATATTATTATGAATAGTGTAGTGTGACACTTTTTCTTGAAGCTTTAAACTTGCGGCTGAGCGATAGGTGGGAGCACAGAAGAAGAAGTTAATAACTTCACTCCTATCATCTCAGTGCCATCGTGTTACATTTTAGTTAGGGATCTAATTCCCTTAAACGTCCGATACGTATAAATAACCCAGCTGTTAACTTGACATCAATCATCGTTATCTACCAACGTATCGAGTGTTCTTATACTTGTAGTCGTAAACAAGTCACTGTCAGGATATGGCTTGCTTGGCTCTCGGAAGCTTGATAAGGCTCGTGATAGGGAAAAGGAACAGATACTATCAGCATTAGGTAAAATATGGGTCGTCATTGAATTGATTCAGCTAGCAAGGGTCGATTATCCTACGATTGAAGACAAACAAAAAGCCAATAAGTATTGACTCATGTAAACGTTCCTCTGTTTAATCGCTTGATCGTGCTGAATGATGGAGCCTCATATCTTACCACAAAATAAACTGGAAGATCTCCAGGGATATGGAGCACAGCACTGAGCTGTCGCACTGATTTGGCCTTGTTCCTATGCCATACATTTTCCTAGCAATCCGTTTTTTTATTCAACGTATACATATCTAATATAGACATTTTTACTTTCGTCATCCCATTTCGACACGGCCGTAACGAATACACGTTACGTTACGTAAAAACAAGACGCATGCGCATTGAGTAACATAAAGCTACTCAGAGAATCTTGACTACATAAGTTTTTCTCATGCGAAATAAAAATGATCTCGGATGGCCATATGAAAATGTTTGACTGCGTACCTTCGAGAACGGATGCAACAATGGTTAGTCCTTTACCCGCCTTTAACTGCGAGGCAAATGTGATCATCTTACGATGCTTTGGCAGGTAATCGTTGTTCAATTTACATAACACCAATACCTGTTAATTCCAAATCAGATTTTTTTCCCGTAAGACACATGCCATTGTACTTATCCAAATACTGTCTGAATGTTCCATTCCGATTTGCTGAAAGTCCCTTCAACGCTTAATCGGTACTTCTATTCCCCTACCATTGTTTTCACTATACTCATTGCAGACTGCGTTTACGAAGTGAGCCGGTTCTACCATCATCACAGTCCGTCGCATTAGGAATCGAATAGTTTCGTTCGTTCATACCTGCGGGCGCCAGTTTTTAGTGTGTGGTGGCCCTTCCTCGAGACGCAAAAGCGAGAATCGAGCAGCAGATAGCGCCAGACCTCGAAGGCCGTCTCCCCATTCTTTTTCTGCCCCCCTACAAATAGAAATGGTACCAAACGAACACATGATTAACTAGCAAGCTGATAACTTGCTAACTAAGTTCTCTTACATCGCCGTTTGCGTATGTCATAACATTCGACTGAAACCTCTAACTTGTGTTTTCACAAAATGAATGCTCCCAGTTGAACCTGGCAACCTATTGCACTGGGAACAAGTATACGAATAAAGCTTTCTACCGTGTGCTTACCTGTACTCGATGTATTTGTAGACAATGCCAGCAATGGCCATAGCCATAAGAGCGTAGTACCATGACGAAAGAAACATAACAACGAGGCACAGTAGAGCTCCGATTAGGGACAATGACCAGTGGTAGTATCTGCGAGAGGCAATATATATATATATATCAATCAGAGCTTTAGTTCATTGATTATATACAGGTTGTATTTCTTAGAAAATATGCATCGCATTTACGCATGTTTCTAGACGGCGTTGTTGAATCCCACAAATTCATAAACTATATATGCCCATAGATACTGGACACGTATTTCCTTGTAACTTTCCTAAGTTATGCTAGCAGCGAAGTATTATGACTGTTATCGCACCCAACGCAGAGTTATTACCTTTACAAGAAAATCCTTTTATTCGGTAGCTCCTATGTAGCTCTCGTGTAGCTCTTGTGTAGCTATCTATTGTGTACATTTTTTTATAGAATCGCGATTTTTCAAATTTGAGATTTCTGCCTATTTTACTATATCATTGCTAATATCTCAAGGTATTTGCATTAATCTGTACAGGTCATAGCTTTCCTACGTTGTCAATGGAAAGTTAGTTAACGCGCCAGCTTGTCCGATACAGATAAGCATGGTACTTCGTTTCAACCTTACATTAGCAAGGCCATTTTAATTTCGTACAACATTTAAGAACTATGGGATTCACCTATTGTGCTTTAGAAAACTTCAACCTCTCAACAGATTCAACGTTAACGTTCATTGCTAACAGGAAACAATGGAGTCCAGAGAATTTTCGAATAACTGCTGCTTCTAAGACCCTGCCCTGTCTGGAAAAAGGATAAAATATATATTCAGAGACGAATTTTGCAGATACGTCAAGTTAGAACGGAACAAAAATCGAGTTCGATAGTAGGGAACACGTTTACCTAGGTTTTTTTGCCTTTATATAGATCGACTAATAAGAATAAACAAGCAATATGTACCTATTGTATTGCGGTATTCTTATTTTAAAATTTGAAAGACTCTGACAGCTGGCTACTCAATAGACTGTATCGCAATCCCGATAGGTCTCCTTCACGGAGCAATAGAAGCCATCGCTGGACTAACGTACCCAGACCATGACCATGTAGCATGAAGTGGAGCAAAGTCAACAGGAGGCCAGCAGCGGTAAAAGTTAAGTCTGTGATCATAGTAGAAATACTATTCACTCATTTTTTTCGAAGACTAGTTGTAGAATGCTTTATGCACTAACTCTAGTTTATAGGATTATAGTATTTGCCCAAAAATGTAGAATAGATCGCTGCTAAAGTTTAGCCGTCTGCCTCTCTTTTCAGTTTCCGTCGATAGCGTTCGCGTATGCTTGGTTCTACTAGCTGGTACCACGCCGCTTCCGTAGAGGGTCTTACTTTTTATTGAAATCCCTCACAGCAGTGCGAAAATGACACGAACTTTGAAATTCCCTTGAGAGTAAGTATTACTTAGATATGTTCAGGTATCTCAGCAAGACTTGTTGCGGGTAGCGTGCTCTGTTCGAGGTAAAATTAATAGTCTTGAAAGGCCAGCAATTTTGCATACGCTAATATATTTGTACGTGGAATAGCGTATGGGATAGCCGTTCGAAAGGGTGTAACTGTCAACAACACGCAACTTCAAATCAGAGACATCGAGCGTTTACCTATTACCGCATGAATACTCAATGTGTTCAATTAGCGGTACTAGTACTACAAAAACGATCTCCTGTAGTATCTCGTCAGACAGCGCGTTAAGTTTTCCAAGCTCGGTATGAACAGAAACGCTACGCGAATTTATTTGAAATCGAGACGGTGCGAGTGAGGCTTAAACTCGGGAAAAAGGATACCGGGACTAGACATAAAACAGGACAAGCTAGTCTATCCTGAGCTATTATCAAGTATAGCTTTGGGTAAATTCTGTCAGTCTTCGCTCTGCAATGGCACAAACGAAGCCCAGTAGTACGATCAAATACATAGAACAAGTATGCGCTACGCGACTACGGCAGCTTTAGCAGTTTGTTTGATCTTCCATTTTCTTTTGCCGTATATTTCTAGCAAAAGTGACCCGGAAAAGACTTAGGGTCGTTGGTCACCGAAGTTCTGTTGCTCGGAACTTATTTACTTGTATGGATGCCAGTTGCTTTTCCACTGAATTGCCGGCGGTTCAGCTTTCCTTTGTTTTCATTCCTCTGCTGCTGCTGCTGCTGCTGTAATAGCTCCTGTGTATCCATTTGACCGAATATACGATCATGTATTACGACATCGTTACAAGCCAAGACGAGTACTCATCTGCATATATACAATAGTTGATTGATTCCGATTTTGCTTCCACCCTACTCTTACCCACGTTCTAATGCTAAAGTCGAATCTATACGTTCCGCATGCAGTATGGTGTTGTTCGTGACGCAGCATATGGTCTACACAAACGAGAAATTCGGGTACTAAGTATTGATATAAATATTTGGGTGGAAAAAGCGCACGAAGAAGTCAGGCCGACTACGACATTAACTCGAGCACGGTCGAAACACGGCAAAATACAAATTGTAATATATGCATATCTTTTGCATCTACTTGTAGTCAAGGCTTCAGACATGTGGAACCGCTCTATCAGATCCAGAGCATAGGGGGCAGAGGCATCACGGGCACAAAGAAAGTCCACGACAGGGTTGCACGTCCACGTTTTTTTAAAGGTATAAGTTTAATGATCCTGCTGGCAACAAGCCCATCGCGTCACCGCTTCCAGTTGTTTCGGCGTTTTATATTGTTCGTACGCGTTCGTATTCGTAGATCCTTTCGATCTTGCACAGTTTTACCTATCTATCTATCTATCTATTGAAGGGGAAAGAAAAGCAAGAACTAAAATATCTCGCCAGAGCGTTGAGAAATACGGCCTACTTAGAACCCATTTGCAAGCAATATTCGGACTGTACTAATCCACATGATAGCATAAGCAGCAAAATTTATGATAGGTCCCATAAAATGACGTATAATACTTGACCTAATTGACATAATCATTTTGAGATTGCGTGGTAGAGTACGTTGTTGCGGAATTCATCTGATACATTATGACAAGATGGTTTGCAATGTAGCTATTGTTAAGCTTTGAACATACAGTTGTCGTTTATACATGCACGTTATAGACTTGCGTTTGTTATTTGGTGAGTCATATCGTTCGTTAACTTCGCTCTATTTGTATGTCGCTCTTTGTGGTTGTTCTAGCACACGGCGCACGGTCTAAAAACGCAAACAGCTAATACGTACCTGAATCTCGGACGCCAGTTGGGCGTACGCAGCAATGATTGTAAGGTGCACGCAAGGTTAACGAACATGTAGCACATAAGAAAGAACATGGTCAGGATAGGTGCGATGTGATCGAGATTGCCGATCAGAATGCCCAGCTCAGAGATGAATGCCGTCAGGAGTAAGGCCCGTACGGGTTCACCTCGAGACGATGAGAGAGCCATCGGGTTAAGTACCGGAATTACCCCGTCCTTAGCGATTGCTTGTAGCAGACGTGGTGCTCCTGTTTACCAGAGTAGCATATAATAGACAGAAACGTTGTTATATGAAATTTGACATGGTGGTGCCACTAGACACCCAATGCCAGCTTTACTAGACGTATATCCGTTATTATAAATTTATCTACTTAAATATACCTGATTTACGGTACACCAAAATACCAGAACATGCATAATTTCTTTTTAAGCAACTTTTTAATTAACATAACTGCTGTCCAGTCTTCCGTCTTGGCCTTGTAGAAATACTATAATGATGTTCTAATTCTTACAGTCGCGTTCACTGGATTCTGCCATGGCCATTTTGAAAGCGTTGTTATTCCTGCCGACGTTTCGTTCTAGTTTAATGAAACTTCATTAAGCATTTAACATAAATTATTGTCTCATAGTTATGGGTGGTCAAAAACTTTTTTGTATTATCTATCTGGGAATAGAAAAGCTATCTTGACAACGTAAGCTATGTCGAAAATCTCAAGGGACACTGCTATAACGATAACTACTTGAGTGGTAGCGTTTTTCGCCCAATCTTCATTTTCCCTTAACTGAAACCTAAAGCAATTCTATTTTTACGCAAGGAAATCCTATTAGCCTGTTTTGATAAAAGCGACATTTTGGAATAATCTGACGTTTTTCTTCCTGACCTATCTCTATTATTCTATTTTATTATTCTATTAGTCTATTTACAGACCTCTATTATGGCTGAGTTCGATGTTTAATTCTTAATCAGCAGCACCTCAAAAAACAATAAAGAAGGCGATGTTTTCTCAAGTATGGAAAGACTTTGATTTGTTCGGCAATTACTAAAATTTCGAAATTATTCGGAGCATATCTGGTTTAAATCTGAATAATGGCCGAACTTTCTTTGCCACTTTTTTAGTGTCAAGGGATTTTGCTGGACGATATTTGATATGTTTTCATAAGCTAGAATAGCGAAGTTTTTCGATGTACGGTACTACAGCTTGTTGGTTATATATGAGAAGGACCTTTAAATGCAGAAGGTGAGCATAGTTTCAATTACTTGTAATAAAATATCGGCCAAAGTGCCAAAACAGGTAGAAAAGTATCACCGGTGAGGGAAAAAGATGCGAACGATGTTTTACTTATTGATAAATCGTGAATTATACTTACACATCTATTATTTGGGAGCTGAACAAGGCTTCGTAGGCCTTACTAAGAAAGAACGCATAATGAACAAAACATGCAATCATTTCGATATGTATAGCGAATACAAGAGGAGCTATCGAATGTATGCTCCAATGAAGTTCCGCGGTGATTACACTTGAAACGCGTCAAGACAAAAAAAAAAAACTCAGATAGCTCTAAAAATGCAGCACTATGAAAAAGCTAAGACATTTGCAAATTTCAGCCTGATTGTGGAGTTCAGATTTACTAGTGCCTCCAACATAAAGAAAACGATAAACTCAAATAGTAGAGTTCATCTCACCTTCAAACGTAATATAACTTTTTGATTGGCGGGCACCCGGCCGATTGAAACATTACTACATAGTGTTTTGCGCTCAGATTGACTGGAATTGAAAATATAATCAGAATAAAAAAAGAAGTGTATATGTTGTACCATAGATCAGATGAACAGTGTCTAGTTTGTGGAACAGCTACGTATCGGATGAAGTCTAACATCGATACATATCCGTATAATAAGAGTAACTCCACCATTTTTCTCTTCTCATAGCGACTATACAGTATAAAACCCAAGACTCCAAAAATGTTTCTTCCTAACTATTGAAAGTAGAATTCGCTTAAATGCTTATATGCGAGGAAGCCGTCACAATAGGCTGCCTAGGTTTCTTTGTCTCAACTAGAATTCCGCCGCTGTTCGTCTATTCTAAAGCGAAATAGAGAATCACATTACATAAACAATGCTTCTAGCCGAAGTTTGAATAAAATTACTTTATTCAAAACGTACTCGTACGTTGTTCCGTTTCTCGTATGTACTAGCTTTAGGCATACGTACTAACGTGCGGCGAGTATATTGGGTGCCCTCTTGAGCAATCCTCAAAGTAAGTTCAAGAACTTTTTTCTCGAGCGTAAACGCGGAACGATTTCATTTTTTTCATCCCACAAACGCTATTACTGTTACAGGTACTGCTGTACATAGTACGTTAGGTCATTGTGGCCTGTGCAGCAGCCCCTACGAACAGCCGCGGGCTACAGCAGAGGCAGCACAAGCGACACAACATCAGCATTGTACACGCTGGAACTTGGCTGACCAAACTTTGCTTAATATTACGACTAAGCAAAAGTAGTCTCAAAGGTTTTTTTCCTGCCGGCTTAGTAGCCCTCAGCGACTCCCGTAGGTTTATGACGTTAACCTGTTCCACCATTGCTGCCGGCGTTGCCTTGTAGCAGCTCTGCTGTGTGCATCAACGCTACTGGCCAGTACGTATTGACCTTGTCGTGCTAGTCGTCAGTATGCTCATAGCCATGCTGCTTTATTGTTCCGGATGGCCAAGTCTCTATGCCGTTGACGTGTACTGCCCTACCACTATAACCCCAATCGTGGCGGTACATCATACGTTCTGGTGTAGTTTTTCATTGCCATTGTTGCCAACGCAAGTGCTTCCTTTCGTCCAGTTCTCTTAGATATGTTTTAAATCATCGCAGCCTCTTCCAACCCTGTGGTGAGGGCCGAGTTTTGATCGGTCATCGAAAAGGTCTCCGTAATAATGCAGTACTAACATAATTGCCCTATAATAAATAAACATATTACTGCCAAACAGGTTATGAATTATATCCTGATCGATGTCGGATTCAGGATAGAGTATAAGGTCTCTTGACAGATCGAAATTAGCTGGAACGAGGAATGAGTCGATCATTCAACTGAGACCAGACAGTTAACAAATACCCTGACGTCACACGGGATACGTAGCTATTAATCGTTTTACTAAATTTTTTTTTCTTAATGGCAATAAGGTTCGACCTTTGAATAGGCCATTCAGTACATGAAGTATCGGACCAAGTGCTAAATTCTATACGCAAGACTCGCTAAGCTTGTATAGTTTTTGGACAAATAGACTTTTATTAGCCAAACTGTATTACTTACTGAAGGGTTTCGAACACCACCCATTTATATTATATTGTGCATCCTAGCTATTCGTCTGCTAGCATACACGTGTATGCTAGCAGACGAACCTCTGAGACAACAATCAGCGGTCACTGACTCCTATAAGAGAAAATGTACAGCCTCTATTGTATTATCCATGAAATAGCCTTAATCTAGTGTTAGTATCTGGTTTAAACAAATAAAAAGTGTTGTTATTATCCACTCGAACGCTAGCAGTGAATGCTCGGCAAAACGACGCCCGCAGCGCCATCCGTCTAGTGTATAGATCGCACGACATGCTTGCTGATAGGTAGGGTTGAAGAGAGCTGTCGGCTTAATCTGATGTATCTTGTTGTTCTTTTGGCCTGAGCAGATTCAGTTAATGAGGAACGAAGATCCGACTAATGATCAAAACCTATGCACGAACCTTAACAAAAGCAGATGGATCACGAATCCGAATGCGAAATTTTAATTTAATCCACCTCTTTTCGCACGTTGTGACGTAACGTTGCCCGTAGTAGTACCCCATGCACCCCTATGGTGGTGGGGGGGGGGGGAGTAACATATTTACCTCGTAAATTTAGCGACACGATGTAGGTTTATAGTGAAGGTCAAATACACTTCGTTGCGTATTGAAAGCCAACCGTTCGAAGCAAGGCGTGAAGTGTTTATTTGGTGCTTCTTATAGAACACGAACAGATGAATCGGCGGACGTAAGTTGCTTGTTACAGGCGAGAAATGAAAACTACGAGCAAAAATAGCGAAGCATTCATTCATTCGAAGGACTCGATTACGAGGTATCCGGTCTAGAGGCGAATAAATACTAATAAATCAACGGAATAACTTAGAAAGCAGAAGTGGCATATCCGGTCGCCCCTTTGCTGCGAAGGAACCGGTTGAATTTAGTTGAACATGTGCCACTCTATATCATTGATCCTATCGATAAGCTGCTATTATCGACTCCCAACCAGATATATCGTTCTCTGCTAGCCGGCGTTAGCCTCTGAGTACACCACAATCATCTGCCCTGGTTACTGCCCTGGGCAAACAATTGCATTAGGAAATAGTCCAGTGGCAGGGCGTTAACTACCGGTGCATAAAATGTAGTATTGCCAGGAAAGATCTAGGTAGCTGTTCCAATTGTCAACGGTTCCACCGGGCGAAATGGGTCAATAATGTCCTATTAAAACTATGCGGAAAGCAGGTATGCTATACTGTCTATCAAGCTCGCTCTTTTTCGATGGCGGCCGATTTCTCGTGACCTGGCGCCAGGACAAGCGCGTAACTGAAGCTTAGAGTGGGATAAAGTTCGCACTATAATTAGGCTATTATTAATATTGCTATTGTGCTTTTCTTTTGTTAAAAGATATCCTACAACCGTTCGCTCTGTCAGTTGTTTTTTCCGCAGGTTTGGCACAGCAACTGCTTTCTTTTTATAACAGAATTGTAATTAGCAATCTCAATTTTATTGATAAAATAAGCATTTAATGAAATTTCGATGCGTTAACACTAGGAAACACTTTATCATATGATGGGCTGTGCGGATTTTGCTATGATTGGGCAGAAACGACGATGATTTTAATGAAAGAGCAGTTCAAATCTATATTTACTGGATCATTTCGCTAGAAAACGCGCATCTATCACATGTATCAGTCTATATGTTTATTTGGTGCATTCCCTTAAGGTCTACCTGTCTTCATATAGCAACCTTTTAGTTTGCCTGACATTTACCGCAAGAATAGCGGCCCTCATTGTAGGATTAAACCGTTTATAGCCGTTCATACCGTACGAAGCTGTCTTAAAGAAAACCGCCTAAAGTCTTAAATAAAGAAAAAGAAAGCCACTTGAGATAATACAACTCAAACTGTTTAGCGAGAATCAGCAATAGCTAACATCTTCGAAGGGTTAATTTGACGAAACTTTACAGATTGTGGTACTTGCTCCGTTTCAAAAACCCTTTCACACAGTCGTACTGTCCTCCTGCAGCGGTAAGATATTTCCCGTAACCGTCTCAAACCCGTTTTGAAATTTCGTGGCTTTGAACAATAACAGAAACGAATCAGTATAACAGACGACTTAGTCCTGGCTAAAACAGTCGATCTGGATAACGTTACATACGCTTTAGAAAAAAAAATGGTCACAGTCTTTCGAGTCAATCTCTCTTCGTCAACAGCCTTTTATAGCTTATAATTTAGATTAAGGTTATGCTTCTGGATTAAGATGCACCGTATTCAATTAGCATTGGACCTGTATTCAATTAGGATAGATAGCCTTACTTATCTAGGTCCTAATTCGTGTTAACTCTTCTGGAAAATGGCGAGATCCATTCAGGCGGTTATCTTATTCATATGCAAATAGCTTGAATTAAGTGTTTAGCTTGTGTCACGGGAACCTCTGTGATTTGATCACGAGAATTCATTAGGTTACAGTGAGAATTATTTCGAAAAACCTCTAACCGTTCGTCTGTGTTCACATAAATTTTCCGTCGTCCTGGAAGTGTTTAACGTTAGGCCTACGTACGGGCTCTTTGAAACTTGTTAATTTTCTGATGATTTTTAGAAAATCTGCACTCTTCGTGATTTTTTTTTTTTTTAGTTCAAATTGTAAACAGGGTCCAACATAGCTAATTTATGTATGATCTATTTACGAAAAAATGGCCAAAGTCTGTACCTACCTCAAATGTAGGCACCTTCGACAGAAAAAAATTGTAACCATACTCACCAGTGAGCGATTGTAATCCAGCACCGATGGTGGATAGAAGTGATCCCACGACTACGATCATGGGATGTGGATACGCTAATTGAGCCACTGCTAATTGCCCTTTAACACTGTCGCCGAATCTGTCAGGAATCGGGATGAACGAAGAAAAGATTTTATACAGTAAAAACATGTAAACATTGGAATCACAATCAACAATGATTTTTCATTTGCTCTTCACGTATAACTGGCTATGCAAAGTCGCGAGCTTGCAGTAAACAGATTGTACCCCGATTCCTTTACTGTGGTATGATATGAGATGTTCAAGCTCGCTTTTGTTTATGCCACTGTACACTTGTTCGGCTAAATATGGTGTACGAGAAAAGAAAAAGAAAACATTTATTCTACAATACAATGAAGTAAGCCATCGTAAGTTTAACTGAACTTTTACACTTTTTGAACGAAAGAGATTAGTTACCACGACAGCTAAAAAAAAGTCAAAAAGCCCGCGAGGGCACAGTATCTTCTACTGAACTACCCTACTTGGACTTGATAGCTGTATTGTTTAAACGTAGGCGCGCTTTTGACGCAGACAGTGATGATTACGGCAGGTGGTGGCAGCAGCGTCGACTAGACTGGAGGGTCTCGAGTCATACATCACCGCTCACAACAGACCCAATGAGATCTAACGTTTATTCAATGGTATCTTCGCAATCAGGAAGATGATCTAATAATAGATAACTTAATATAGCGAATTGATAAGAGCAACGAGTCAATAGACACTTCGAAGGTAACGTCCTCATTTCGAGGCTACAGGCAGTTATGTTTCACAGTTTGCAAGACGTCAGATTTTCTTTCTTGTAAGCACATTTCCTAGCATGCATCCTTTACCTATCGCTAACTTCAGAAGATTCATAGTAATCACGATACGAAGAAATTGGCTACCCACGGCGTGATACTGAAAATAGCATCATTAGCAGCAGCTGGGTAAATCTCGTCCTTGCTCCCTACACCAAATTCTGGAATTCGTTGAAATAATTTATATAATTTCATTCAGCTCCACAAATTTTAGGCATTATCAACTCGTCAGCGGTTCCATTATGAGACTCGCCACCACCAAGGGAGCGGCGTGTACTGGCTTATTCGCGTTACTAGATTCAATTAAAGAGATGATCTCCATGCCTAGCGAAAACTTAACGCGATAACGTTGGTGAAGTTAAATTACGTCGAAAACGTTCCAAAATACGCTAAAATCATGTAGCTTCATCAATGTACTCGTTCATTCGTCTGCTAAGGTTTCATTGAAGTAGCACTATTAATGTATTTCAGTATCGAAGTAATACTGATTCCGTAAATTATCGATCTATCGAGCTACGAGACAATTCTATCGAGAGGGAAACCTTTACTAGGCATCAAGGTATTCCAATAAAAACCAGTCCTACGGCCCAGGTCTCCGTCGAAAGGGAACGAAAGATTGCTGTTCGTTGCAACTCTACTAGCGCTTTCACTGCTGCACTTTTATGCTTCCATTGAGCCTCTAGTTTTCTTCGACTTTAACATCCTGCGTTCGCTCGTCGTTCGATTCTCTTTCTGGGTGGTTTTGTCGCCGCTTACTATTTCCACCTCGTTTGTTATTGCCGTTATCGTCACTTCGGGCACGCGTGCATGACCTCATCATTCTTCGCTCGCGCGTTTTTGCAAATCGCAAGCAACGTCTCTTGAAATGATAGCAAGCGGAGGTTGACCTCAGTCCTCTGTCGCCGAGAAACAGACGAACCGAACCGAACGGAACGTAACGGGCTGAACGACCGAGGCAGGTGTTAGACGATTTTGAGAAACTAGATATTTCAGAGATACGACGTCCCAGCAGCGGATATAAATGGCGTTAGTAGCTGGTCAAGGGGAGCAAGATGATTTGTTTCTATTGATTTTCAAGGAACGTATTAAAAAAGTCAGCCGTATGTTTGATTACGGTTCTGTTAGCTAGACCGGCCGATTCAATCCACTGGCCAACAAGATCACCCGACATGTTCAGTAAGCCACTAAATAAAATAGACATTTAAATGAACTATTATTGCACGTGGAAAATTGCAAGTCATAATGTAAAGATGACTTCAAAGGCCAGCTTTCTCTCGTTGTGAAAATGCGAAAAATCTGTATTTCTCACCGGCCGAGTGTCTCGTGCTATAAAATCATCTCGAAATATTCAGCATACAGACATAAGAACTACTGTTGATTGCATTAGTCGTCACTCATACAGCGTCCCAACGTTCCCGTGATCGTTGCCTTCATACGTTCTCCGTGAGCACAATCTGAGTAAGCGGACGGAAATCCGAAGGACGGCCAACTAACTGACTCGATAGTTCGCCTCCGTTGGAACAACACTTTGTATCTCTAAGCTATGCCGTCTCCTGGCGACAACGGTAAGCACATCATTATGCCTCGATTGTTTTTTAGGAGCCGAGATAAAAGCGGCATCCAAATGGTGGCTAGAGAATACGGCGCGGATAAAGTTCTCAAGGCATCAAAGGCAAATTTCTGTTAAAAGAAAGTGACAACCTGGTACTATTGCAAATGGCATACGATAAAGAAGATATACTTAAAAATACGTCTTAGCGCAAGTAAACCGTGACCTAGATAACTATCGTTTGCCACGGGAAACCGGAGGGCGGAAGAAACAGCAGCAGCAGCAGCAGCACTGATTTGATCTTGCAAAATTGGGTCTTTTGAAATGTATGTGAGTGACCCAATGAATGAGAAACAGTTACACGGAAGCAGTGTCACGTAAGGCAAACTACTAAGCGCCTGTTAAAGGAGATTTGTCTATCCGGTGCATAGGAACTATGCTATTTGGCAGCCCAATTTCAAATATGTTTGCCTCGTAGTTCCAAACATTGGAAATCACCCTGCGTTCATGATGACAGTAAGCAAAAGCTTAAGTATTTAAGCTTTATGCTATTGCATGAATATTATGCGTTTTTATATAAATTATTATAGAATGCTATTGCATTATATTTAATATTTGCTATCGGATCGCCACACTGGAAGGGGTTTAATGCCATTGAATTTAAACGAAAGCAAATATCTATCTGTAAAAGGAGTCAGGAAACTACGGAAGTCAATATTTGAGCGAAAATGTTATCGGGATTATTTGTCAATGCTTCACGGAAGATCGTTGATATGGAGGCTCATGTTTAACATTGAATTGAATTGAACATAGTTTTTAAACATTTCGAATTCTAGAACAGGTCAAAAAAATGTGCCTTAATACAACGGCAGGTATAACAGCGGTATTAACAGAACCTACTTTTTCTTAGTTTATAGTCAGCTTCAGACTGAGCCGGACTATCGTCTTGTAAACGAGAAAAGCAAGGTGACCTTGTCTTGGATCGTTGCTGCACCTAATCGTATATGTTAATCTACATAAAATTCTGATTTTTTTGTAAGTGTTTATGTTGCTTTCCGGGTTCATCGGACAAAAATATTCAACTCTTGTTCGATGACTGGCTGGCTTTTAAATTTCTTCATAGAGATATTAGTCATCTCAGTAGATAGCAAGTTCTTCTTTCCATGATACAGATGGTGTTGTAACACGCTCAGTGCTGCTGGTGTTCTTGCCGCCCTTGACACGGCTGAGAGTACGCATAACGCAGTGTGTATAGGTGTATTCTTGTCAAAACAAAGTTCCGACGTCACTTACAAGTTACTAATAATAACAATAATAGTATAATGCGAAGCCGCACCGGTTCGTCTGTCTTATTTTAAAAAATGTCAGATTTTATTTAATATAAATTATAGAAAAGTATACGTTCCTGCACGTCGATCAGTTCGTTGGTGTTGCAATAAATGTTACTGATTGCAAGTCTTCGTAGTTCAAATTTACGATAAATTTTTTAACCCTAATTTTTAGCTTACGTACCAATAATCTAAAACAAAAAAAAGAACAAACGACTATGAGTAAGTGTAATAGTATTAGAGAATTGTTTCGTATATGCATTGATTTTTGACGTACTTGTCACGAAGAAAAGCGTTGTCGAACGCGGCACTAAATAGAAAAACACCAGCGAGGTAAACGATTGATGTCGTAATCTGTGCTGCCAGTGTTCCCGTAGGAATCGATTTTTGAGCATCTGCCAGATCACCGGATCGATTTGAGCCTGCCATGATACCTGTGTCAATTGAATGAAAAATGATTGCGGTATATTCCTATCGAAGAAGGTCAACGATACTTTTTCGTAAAAGACGTTGCACTACGGCCACGCGTCGTATAATTTAATTATCGAATTTTATATTTACTTGATTGACGACTATAAGGTACAGTATACTCATTTCTGGGGATTTTCTGGAAGAACATCTCGCTTAGTTAGTTATCCAAATTGGTCCAATTCAAACAGTGGCCGCTTCTAATTAAACATTCGAAATCGATAAACCCTAATTTTTCAACGAGCATCAATTGTTCTATATGTTATACGATGTTTTCCTATGTCAATATACCATCTTTTTGTGTTTCTAACGCGAAAAGTGAACGAAATATCTATCTACTTATCAACACTTCTTTTGCAGTGTTTACACAATTTCTAATAGGGAAGTTTGAAACGTATCTTCGTTAGGTGAAAACGTTAGGTTAATTAACATACCTGTAACTGATGGGAAGAAAATGGCAACAAAGAATGTGAATGTAGTCGTAATATCGGAGACAATAAAGGCTCTTTTCTTAGTTTCTTCCAAGTGCTCGTCGTCATCAGGATTCGTCGACACGACCTGACCTTTTTCTCTGAAGTTTATAGGAAGATTATCTACAAACGCCACAAATAACCAGTTTATTATGAAACGTACATTGTCCATTTGTGAGTATGTTTATCATAGCATTGTGCAGAAGTGTCAAAGATACCTATGAGCAGCAAACTATACATTTCGATGCCGGTAAAAATCTAGGTAATAGCTATTCAGCCAATTTCATCTAAATTAAACCAAATAGGAATAGTATGTATTTTGAATTGAATGATTCTGTCGTGAAAGTAAGTTCTGGTAAGTTCATCACTGCACTTTTTTTCATGCACTAAATTGACGTCACTAATTAGGTCACCTGCGTGTCGATCTATGCACTTACACAAATAACTTCCCTAAAAATCAATCGATTTAAATTGACCGCTATTAAATAATCATTAGGGTCGCTCGGGTATTTTGGACAGTTAAGTTGTACTATGGGCACTTCGTCGACTTTTATTTATTTAGAAGTATTTAGAAATATTTCCCAGTTCACCAGCTAGTCTAACTGGTTGTAACGAGTGTTTTTCTAAATACTAATGGGGTCGTACTTACCAAAGAACACTCCACTGCTGATTCCGGGCACCGAGATAACCTCTTGAACGTCATGACTCTCATAGTAGGGATCGCAATATGTTCGAGTGTTGTTGGTTAAACAGAAGAGCTATAGTAGTCATCAAGGTGTGTATAAACAAACCAGTATCCACTATTAGCTGAACATTCAAAATGATTCCAATAAGAAAATTCATAGATTTCCGCAACGGTCTCAGTATTAATTATGGATCTGAAGAGTTTCATATTTGCATTACCTCTAGTAGACTGTTAGAGATTGCCGGGACTACAGTAGAACTACGACACACGAGCTAGAATAAAGCTAGATCCACTAATGGCGTGGTCACGCTGTCCAGTATCTAACACGCTGGAAAAAATGTTTGTCTCATATATGTTGTCCGTGAGGATTATTTCGGTGAAAATTTATTAGAGCAGCTAATTATTTAAGGATAACGTGTAACATCCTGGGCGTCTAGATTGGTTAAGATAAAAGTGCCTCACAATTAAACGTAGAGTATTATCTATTATAAATTGACGTACGCTTCGCAGAGCCTCGCTTTCCTTCGTGCAGTTGAACTCTTTAACGTTTTGGGACAAGATACGGTCGCCCAGTTTGCAGTACCTGAAACGAAGGAATAGAGTAGAACGGAGGGCGTCAACTTGACCTAAAATTGCTTATTTTTTACCTATTGATCATACGGAGCACGATTCGTACTTTTTTCGATCTTGAAATTTTCAACAAATCTTCTGAAAGTACGTTGCTAGTCCTTCTGATGTGAAGAAAAGTTTCATCAATTGGTATAACGCTAATTTCCACTCACTCATCGGCTATGTAGCAGTTCCGTTAGATTTTTCTTTATTTCATCACGTCTTCTATAGCTGTTCAGTTTTTAAGGATTAATCTTTAGCATTTTCAGCGCTAGCATTGCATCAGCAGTATGCAGCTAACGTCTGAGAGTCCCCGCCAATACGCTTCTAGTATACGGCAACTGTGTCCAGCTACACGACAGACTATTGCCTGTGCATGTGGTCAAACGACAATGATTTATTCTACACGCTGTTTGACCTCAAGCCTTGACGAGCTCGTTTTTACCTAAAATCACCAGACTTACCATTCCCCGAAGGCTCTTTGGAGTAGTATGAATGGCCATAAAAATGCCCAACGTAGCGAGAATCAAAAAGTTCAGCAGTAAGGCACATCGACTTCAAAAAATCATCATCATCAACATTACTACAATCATCATCATGACAGAGCGTTGACGTGAGAAGAGTCTCCTTCCTAATTTGATTCGTACGCTTAAGGCCTCATGCAGCAACAGAATCCCTTGGAAATTTTCGAAGGGAGACCATTTCGTTCGCTCTGAGTATGGGCGATCGACTATGCCATCAGTCATGACTGATGGCATAGTCGATCACATAGTGATGAAAGTTCCTTAGGCGGAGCTACTGAAGCAAACCTGCCTTTCAAAGCCTTACAAACTCAAAACAATTGACATTTGCTTATGAGTTAGTTTAGAGCAGGTTCTGGCTTTGAAATTTTCTAAGTATTCTATGAGTGCGAACAGTTTTTTATTACCATGTTGCCATGGCTTCTAAGGTTGTTATTGATCACGGGAAACATTATCCAACCAGCACATACTACGTATGTGCAAGGACACAGTGTTATCTGCTTCTCTTCCCTATTGGCTCGTGTCTATAGCCCGTGTATAAAAAAAACACTCCTATATAATGCTATAAAAGTAGCCCTGTGGAAGAATAAGGGCTACGGAATAAACATGAAAAATCGCGGTGTTCGAACTGATGTTCGTAGACATAGGGAACAAGCTCGTATACCTTCCTCCCAGCAGCACATTTGTGTAAGATCCAGAAGTGTCTATCCCTACTACTATCAATGCGTCTCGTCCATAACTATTCACTTTGTAATCAACTACCGAGTCATAGGGTTGTAAGCCCGCTGGGACAAGTTCTGGGTTTTTCAACTAATGAAGATGAAGCACAGAAAGCTCAAATCAACAGAGCATCGGCAAATTCAACAAGGGCACACGCTACTCGGAATAACATACCATGAGCGTGATTATAAAAAAGTTCCGTCCTTCACTAACGACCGCATTCAGGTCTGAAGGGGGTAAAGGTAAGAGTTTTTTCAGGCAGTGCGCGTATGGCCAGTTATGCGGGATCGGGAACATATTATGGGAGGCTTTTGTGTGCTTTGTGGGGCGCTTGCGCATAGCCCTAACAGTCTACCTCTGTTAAACTAGTGCTTGAGATTCTTCCTTATTGCGCTAATTTTGGCCATGTTCGTGAAACTATCCTCATTTTAGAAAAACATTGTAGAGGCATTCGACAGCAGACGAACATCGCAGGCGTGACCCAGAGTCTAAAAAAGACATGAGCGAAAAAAAAGTTTATTATTTCATATGTAAATTTTTTTTGCCAGAATAGGCCATTTCGGGTCAGTTGAAATGATTCTGATTTGGGCGGATGTACGCCGTATCTTCGCGCTAGTGCGCATAGAAAGTATGCGTATGATCGATTGGAAATAGCCAGAACAGATCCAATTGCAACTCACTATCAATTTGTCTTCCTTTTTGGTTTTCCTCTATTTTTCATTGGCCCTCCCTCTGCTGAACGGCAGTCTGACATCTGAGAGTTCCCTAATTGTGCATAGGTACCGTCCTTGGTCTAATAGAAAGGCAAAACATCGAATATCAAGAATGTCTTACATGCCTATTTGGATCTACTAACCCTATCAAATCGAGTCAATCCAAGCTTATTGCACCGAAAGACTTTCTGCGTAAATTGAAGATAGGGAAATGATTGGAAAATGGGACAGATACGCTGAGAAAACAAACTTAACTTTCGAAATATCTGTGATAACAGGCGGATAATCGTTATGACTTTTTTACCTTTTACATGGCGATTAGATCCATCTGAGATCAAACCATGTATCATTCAATAATACAGTACCCAAAAAACGACCATTTACTAAGTAATCTCGGTGTTTTTAAACTGCGGCTGTAACTCGCGCCATTTAGAATAGCAAACACGAAAGAACACTAATACGTTTGCCTGATCCTTTTCATCAATTTTTGAATCTGCCATTTTTCATACTTACGTACGATTCTTATTTGAACATAAGAAGCGACAGTATCACGACAATACAATGAGCATGCATACCCGTACGAGCAAGGAGTTCGCTTGTAAGAAGATTACTTCTTTGAACCATCTTTGACAATCTTGCCCTTAAGAAATCGTAGTCTCAGAACGGCGGTGGGTCTTTCTCAGTATCGGCTTTTTATGCGGTAAGGCCAACACAAACGTATAAAAATGATCTTCTCACAAAAGGAGGATTTGCGACTGTAATAACTGCATCAACCGCCTGCATAGCATACCGGCTGAGGAGGCCCTACGTTACTACGAAAATTTCGTAATGAAAATATCGCACTCGTTGGCGTTTGACAACTGACCGGCCTATTGAATTAGGATCATTTAGACTTAAAATTATAATGTAATTATAATTATAATTTAGCCGCTCTCTTTGGGTAGCGCTGGCTGCCGTTTTCTCCACAATTTTTTAACAACTCTAGCACGACTATAGACTAGGGCCGCCTGACTTGCTACTAAGGTTCTTATAAGGACAATTTGCTTGTGATGGCCATTGGCAGGCTTGTGGACAGCGTTAATTAGCATGGATGCGTAAATGTGGGATTTGGCCGATTTCGGAATACAACAGGTGAACCCATGCTGAATATTGGCCGACGTTCAGGGTCTCTTCATCCATTTTTGGCCTTTGGAACATGTTTGACCTCTTTTTTCCTTGGCAGTCGACAGATTGATCGTAATTAACATGCTGAACGTACTCTTCCGCTGGAGTTTTCCTTGGGAAAATACGGGAGAAACTTAACAGTGAGCTAGCGTTTGTCCTTTGTCCCTTATTTGCAACATTTCTTCACGGTATAGCTAGTGTCACGTTAGACGAGTTTAACATCTCGTCTAAACGAAGATCTTCCCGTTTTTCTTTTTCTTCGTATTTCACCTTGATTATCCTATTCGAATGTATCTTGTGTTACATGCAAAAGGGTATGTCTGCCGGTACCTTGTCTTGCTATAGGAGGGGCAGGTGCCTAAGAAACAGTTAAATGAAATAAATATACTTTGATGCTTGTTCTGGATGCGTCTAGGTACCGACTATTCGTCCAACGCTAAATTTGATTTGTTACTGGCAGTATGTATCTATGACCGTACGTGGATAGACACTTATGTTTATTCAATAACCGTTGCTTGCTGTTCTAGGATTGTACATACAGCCTTCTTTTTCTTGGTTTCTCGTGATCCGTTTAACTGCTCATAATAACGTGGCAATCTAGCAGATAGAGGCTGATCATTGTGCTAATTTTTCATTTTTATTTAATCTAAACTCAGAACTGCTTTCGGTCTTCCAACTACACTGCTCGTGTTGACTAGGTTTTGTGCCGTAAAGGTGGGCGAACGGGGTAAAAGGCCGCAGGCTGGATAAGGCACTATTTCTGGGTATGGTGTAATGTATTATTTGCCTGGTGCCTTACGTATTATTCGGTGTTGCCTTTTTTGTTTGGCTGTTACAGGTTGTTCTTTGGCCGGTTAAACATACGCCTAAAGGTACGAACTTCCTCGCTTTTTCATCCTGTATATGCCTTTTGATGTTGTTACATTTTCGTCGTACGCGATAAGCTAAGCAGAACGGTACGGTTTTCAACCTCCTGCCGCATTGGGCCACACGGGATGGATTGGGGTACCTTTCGAATTCAAAGTGAGTGGAGACAAATGTATTAAATGTAGGCGTTACAATTCATTTGCAACCTATATAAACGACGAAATTTTCTGCTAATTCTAACTAGAAGGCTGTCGTAATCATTCTAATGCTACACGAATGATTTCAACACAAGAGAAACATCAGCTACGGCTGCTCTGTTGACCGGGAGAATTTCTGTATAACCCGGCTATGGGAAATATTTCTTCCAACTGTCGAATGAACATACGAGCTATCTTTTTTGGATTATTCGTGGATCGTTCAAACTCCCGTACCAGTCCGGTCCAATATAGGCTTGTACAACTAAAGAACACGTAACCAGCTTAACCCTGTGCCCTGTGTGTGTGTTTCCGTATCCCTCAACGGAGCTACTAGTAAAGTACCACTGAACACTGTGACGATAATAACGCGTATCGCGCCTCTTGTTCCCTAACCTTCCTGACCTTTTATTTATCATCTTTATGTTTTTTAAATTCGCTGCGCTTTTCGTTTATAGTTCCATGCCGCCTGATCCCGCAATCGGTCGTGATGATGACCTACTGGATAGCTATACCCTCCGGCTTTCTTTAAGCCTACGTCGTTACTCCACCTGACGGCCGCCTGAGACCAAGCAATGGCAGAGCTAACGTTGTTATTATTGCTACGAGCTTTGCTGCTTCTGCGAGAACTCGCCCTCTCAGCCATTTAGATAAATAAGGCCTGGAAAGCCTGACCTGTTCTCGCTGCTCATGAAAAAACAAACGGTACAAGCATGACTTTTCTGCACATCGTGCCTCTCATAGTGTTACTCAGGCACGTCTTTACACATAAATGGGTGTCGTTTTATAATCCAT